TTAAGGAAGTTGTCAATTTAAAAACAAAACAAATATTGATTGTTGAAAATAGCTTACATGCATGCCGTATCAGTCTGTTGAGTATAGTAATAGACAGTTTTACAAAGTTTGAAACCTCAGCTTTTTTTCTCTATTATGCAGATAGCTTTGAGGTTTTTAAATCTATTGTAGTGAACTTTTGCAAAAATGAAATTGAAGTCAGACAATGACGCAAAATTTTAGCAGAGTGCATTATTTTGATAAAAGACCTGCCAATCTTTATAATTTAGAACATTTTTACATAAGACTAAAGGAATGTTCAACTCAATCATTCAGTACTAGGAACACAAAACTAGCCGACGGTCAGTAAATCCAGTTCTAATCTCATATAATCTAAGAAACCTGAAAGTGTTCATTTAAATTTTAAAATCTGTGTAAGACTTAAGCTGGAAGGTTTATAGGTTCTGTAAAGCTATAAAGTAGTACATGTTTTCTTTTACAATATGTTTCGTACAGTTGTGGTCAATGCTTGGTTGAACGTAAGACCAGGTGATCAGTCTTAGCTGTTACATTACGGTACTTTGAATTTCAGACAGTGGTGTTGTCATTTTTGAACGTAGTGTTGTATCAGAAATATTTATTTACCATTGTTGCCAGACTTAAGTGCAACATACAAAATTATCCATATTTTTTGATGGAATACCCTTTCTGAGAATCACCATTTGTGTTGTTCTTTGGATTGTAGGATTCCGTATTAATTCACAATACTTTTATTAAGGTATTCCGCTGATTTGTGACACACTGAACCCAATACACAGTGAACATTCGCAAACGCTTCCATGGTTCAGTGATTTCGAAGGTCTGGGAAATATCTTTCGAAATCTTTATTTTGCAATCTGCAAATCTAAAGTGTTTGCTACAGGAGATAGAAACAGGAATTTCCAATGGATGACTGAGTTAGTTGTTGTGACCTGGAAAATATTCAAATTAGAACAACATCAATCTTACATAGAGGGAAATAGGTATTAAAGGAGCTGTTTTTTTCTCATTCTGGAAAAAGAGTTTTGAAATTTAAACAAATTTACATTAGATTTTTTTTTTTTTTTGCAACAAAGTTTTCCTTTTATTTCTAAACTTTATTTGCAAGGTCATTTGTGTTGGCTTTTGAAGTGTTATGTATTGGCAAGACTTGAACAAGGAACTCTTGTGTTGCTGATTGGCAGAGAGGGATTGAGTTGTAATATACAAGTAGCAGGTATTATCAGGAGAGCTAACAAATCGATAGTGGAGAGTGGAGATCAATTCCACGGAGGACACGATTTTACCTGTGACAGGTAACACAGATATTTGTTCAGGTGTGAATGGGACAGGTAGTGTTGACGACATGCTCTGTTGACCTTGTACAGGAAAAGCTGCTGCTGCTGAGGCATGCAATAGGCCTGTAGTGAAAGCGTTTGTAAAGGATTTATTTATTTAATGCATATGGAACTGGTCCTTGATAGATTTGTGGTACAATTTTATGATTGTGAGCTGTACATAGCTTTACAATAACTGTCATTGAGAAATTTGCACTGTGCGAAGCGGTATTGTCGGACTTGATTGCTGAGTTTGCAGTCTTGAATTGAACTACCCAAGTTAACAACCTATCTGGACAGGTGTTAAATCAGGATGGCAGAAGATGAACCCAAATACTTCACACCGCCTGCAGGTTTTGTCAAGTCCAAAGTGTCTGCTGTCAGTATTTGCACATTTTATCGGCAAATGTATTGAGTTGTAATATTTTGAGATTAACAATGAGATCAATGATAGAGTACAATATTGATAGCTATATTTGTGACAGGTTCTTGTTATAAATAATTACACAATATAGTAATAATGACTCTCTGATGACCTCTACAACTTCATCTACATTTTTTTTACTGAATCATGTTGTTCTGTTTAATGGAGCAAACTTTTCTTCTGACTGGTGTTCATGCTTAGTTTAAGTTACTTGATAGTAGGGAGGTATTGTTTGATATTTCAATCTGATGAAAGGGAATGGTTAGCAAGAATCACTCAGTCAGAGGGAACATAAGATGGGTGCTACATTTACATACTTAAAACATATGTCACTTGTTACAATCTTACCCTATATATCCAGCTTTGTGCCCATGTCTGGTAATAAGCCCACCCTGATATATTAATGTTCAGTAAAATTATGGACTAATGCTACATCATTATTCTGTAATGTCCACTCACGGACTGAGATAAGTAGTGTGTTAGACCCTCAGGAAAAACATTGTACATAAGTGGACAAAACTTCGTGAAGAGCATTACTGAAAAAACTAACAGACTACAGTTACATAATTTCCTGATCCTCTGCCTACTTGTACGTATTTTAGATTTGATAGTCCATGTTATACAATAGACGTTTTAGTTATTGTCAAATTTCTCTCCGTGACAGTTTTACTCACATTTTAAAGCTGTCATTGTCTGTTTTAACAGGGAATGCATTTTCTCTGCTCTTTTTGTGTGTTTTTGTGAAGGCCAATAATTGTATAGTTATACATTAAAAACTGGATTTTAAACAGAGTAAACGTACCTATCGACTCTGGATTAATGTTATTCAAAGTCTAGTTACTTGTTCCCTGTACAATAATTTTTATCACAATTGGAAATTTGTAAAGAAACTTATCTAAGTGATAAGATGGGCTCTTTTTCAATTTAATACCATTTTGTTCAATCATGTTTGTGAATTATATATCAGTGAAATTTGATGAAGCTTTTGTTGTGGTATAGTAAAATGAATATTGAATCTTATGTGGAGAGTTTTTAGTCCTTTGACTGCAATAAGTAACACAAGGTGATACTATTGAGTTTGGGATTATAGAGATATATAGCACCTGGAAGGAGACAATTACTTATATACCGGGCCAAAGTCAACAATGAAGGGTTATTAAAATGTAAATTGTTCTGTTGGGGAAGTATTTTTCAATTTTCATATTCTAGTTTGTAGTTTAGAGATACACATTACTAAGAATTTTGTTAAATTTTGTAAACCTTACTGTCAAGAAGCGAAGTAACACCTTTATTTTATGTTAGTGGTATTTTACTTGAGAAGGATCAGGAAAATCTTACATCAAAGGGTTAATTTCTTTTAAAAGTACTGCAGAGTTTGAAATGCAATGACTGAAATGATTTCGGTACAGGTATATGATTTTCTAGTCGTCTTAAAATATCCCGGACATAATCTAACTGGACATAGTGTACATCTTAATGATCGACTAGTGATTGTGTGTTTCGTGTCAGAAGATCTTATGTATCTGACCAATCAGAGACCAGGATCTATGTAGGTACATGTACTTTACTGAAGTCACACAACAGACCTGGCACTGTTGATCATGTATAGAAAAAACATTTGCTTATCTATATAGACCATTTCTGTACAACATTAGGCTTGTACTATCAAAAATATTCCACCTCAGCTGGTTTATCATAAATTTCAAAAAAGTGGATTAGCAGCCAAATTCTACTTTAGATTAACAGAAGAGCTATGAGGGTTATTTTCATGGCTATTTGTTATCACTATCTATTCCCACAGATGGTCATTTTCCAGTTTTTATGATATTAAGGCACATCACATTTACAAAGTGGTTTTCATTTTGGTCATTAAGTATTAATACAGTAACTGGGAAAAATTTATAGTGGCTTTCTGCCTGATGGTTTTATAGTTTTGTACCAGAACATAATTTCCCTGACTCAGCAACAGTGATGAAGGACCCGTGTATTAATTAAACTTGTACTTGTACTAATAAATTTCGCTGACAATATTTATATACTAGTTAGGGCTTAATTGATTTCTAGGATTTTCTGTATTTCATGGTACATTTGAGATAATTGTTAGTACAATAGCCTTTGTCCCTGCTCATAGTATGCTTTCCTTTGTTTGGGAAAACATTGAGAAATATTGCTAGGAAATCACAGTAATGTTTGTTGTCAATACTGTTTGAGAAACCAATTAATTCATTGGAAATGAGGAAACACAAAAATATCATTTGCATATAGTAATTGAAAAATTAGTTCGATAGCATGCTGATTAGCTGATCTGTAGTGTAGCAATATTCTGCCGATTTAACGAGATTTACCTGACAAGGTACCAGCTATATAAGAATGAGGTCTCCGAGTATTTGTTGTTGTTTAAATCAACACGAAGGGAAACAGAATGAAATAGCGGGGATCAAGTTATTGACAGTTATCACAAGAGGTTTAGAACACAGCTGATTTTTATTATCAACTTTTTATACTTCTATGCTTGTTTCTATCGTCAGTTTCCCAGTAGAATGATTGTATATATTCTTCTGTAAGGAGTTACATATTTAATCATGTCCTGCAGCTGTGTTGTAAAACCTAAGGATTACACAAACACAGCTCTAGCAAACATGTCTATATAATAGGCTTTATTTGACAACAAATTCTCATAAAATCTTTAAACCCTAGTAATAAGCTTGTACACATTTTTTTTTAAAACATAATGTGATAAAGGTCTCAGGCATACAAGAATCTGACAGCCATATTAGATCCCAGCCACTTGTACTAAATTCGTATTACTATAAAGTAAACAAGGTGGAAAAAAATTAGGCTCAGAAAAAAATTACTGGAAAATATTTATAAATTTCATATACATGCTGACGTAGAGTATTAAACATTGGTTGTTTATATATAGCTATCATTAAAAATTACAAATATATAGATTAATCACCATCTTCCATTAATAAATTGTCAGGACGACGGTTTCCGTCCCTTGATAGGTTGTGCCAATAAAAAAATGAGAGATAGGATATTGAAACATTAAAATCCAATCTCAATTTATTCCACTTACATATTCAAGGTCACATTCCTGGTTTGTGTTTTTAAGTTTTTACTTTACCGTTCGAGGTGATGACGACTAGGTGTCTTTGTATTCCAGAATGTAAACTCTTATCCTGTAGTTTTATAGAAGAAGTTTGTGACAAGATAAGTAATGTATTTGATTTGTGTTACAGCTTGAGCAGTCACTAAAGGGAGACAACGCTGACCAGTCGGTGGACGCTCCCTCTAAGAACCTCGTCCAGCAGAACATTGAGCTGAGACGTAAGTTGGAGGACGAGCACGGAAGTTACAAACGTAAGCTACAGGCGTACCAGGACGGTCAGTCTCGCCAGGCACAACTTGTACAGAAACTGCAGGCCAAGGTAGGATATATACCTCTATAGTAACATCTCGCTCCACTGGTAGATCAAAGGTCATTTGTAAACTGTATCTAAGTCAGGGAATAATGAAAGGTCATCTTCTGACCTAAATATAGTATGAAAGTGAGGGAGTGTCATCAAGAGACAAGGTAATCAGACCTCTCCTTAGACAATATAGAATATTTGTGTTAATAATAGCTGACTTATTGGGTCAGTGACATACATATCTCCAGGCAAAGAAAAGATGATGAGGGAGAAATAAGTTGGATTAAGGACAGAAAGCCTGATGCTAATCTCATGTCATTTTATTATCAACCATTTCTTTTACAGAATCATTTTTCTTGTACCTTAGTAGCTTTTGTATACAGGACTCTGATCTTGGTTCATACATTCAAATTCTTGATTAGATACAAGAGCTTTTGTGACCTTCACACAATGAAACCCAACTGTTTTCACAGTATGAAATAACTGAATTTTTCTGAAAATTGAATGAGTTTAAATCTCTGAAGGTCAAGGTCGCTGAAAACATTGTACTTTGTGTTGATCTTTTCAAATCAGAACTTTTTGATTAATGTGCATTTTGAATTAAGTTTAATTTTCAGTTTTATAATTTCAACAGTTCTACTGAGATGACTATGCTGTGATATTCTTCTGAATTTTAAAGTTTATTAAGACGCCCAAAAGTTTTTAAATGACTTATAATGGGGAAAAAAAGAAGGAGAAAAACAAATAATTTGATGACCATTTATAAGAATTTTTGATAGATCAGGAAATTTTTGGTAGCACAGAAATAACGATATATTTTATTTAAAAGAATATATACAGATTTTTTCCTTAGTAGCAGAAAAATTTAATGAAAAACCCATTAAAAATCCTTCATAAATTATCCATGTTTGTCTGGTTTTGATGTTCAGATGGAACATAAACAGGTGAATGTTAGTTTCTCTTTGTTCTCTCCATTTCTATCACATTGCATCCCCTGTAGAATAGGGCCTAGGCCTACTCATTTGCTAGATTATAGTCACAAAGCGTGTAGCTAAGTCAGCTCAGACTAGTCACTTAACCTGAGAAGTTACGACCTAGCCCCCACTGAGCTATCAAAGCTGTATACCTCTTGTCAATTCTGACTAGTCTCTTAACCTGAGAAGTTACGACCTACACCCCAGTGAGCTATCAAAGATGTATACCCCTTGTCAGCTCAGACTAGTCTCATAACCTGATAAGTTATGACCTACCCCCCCAGTGAGCTATCAAAGATGTATACCCCTTGTCAGTTCAGACTAGTCTCATAACCTGATAAGTTATGACCTAACCCCCCCCCCAGTGAACTATCAAAGCTGTATACCCCTTGTCAGTTCAGACTAGTCTCTTAACCTGAGAAGTTACGATTTACCCCTAGTGAGCTACCAACTCTGTGTACCCTAGGTCAACTCAGGCTAGTTACGAAGCCTGAAGTACTGAAACCAATGCCCAATGAGCTTTCAGTCACTGAGATCCTTAATATCAGCAATCAGCTTGCTGCTTGGTAGACACAGATTTTGATTTTAAATGTTTGTTTTTCATTATTTGGAAAAGTATAGATATTAAACTGTTGCATTGCATGGGTTCTTTAACTGATTAATATGCATGTTAATTACATTAATTAGTCAAGCAAATTATAACAACAAAATATGAAGATTCACGCACTATGAAAATCACAACGTCAGTCATAAACAGAATGCAGGCACGTCATTAAATCCTGAAGCATTCTTGCTTCGTTAGGGTTTTTTTATAACTAGTTAGACTTTAGTAGATTTATAGAACAACATTTGTAATTTACATCTTACAGATCATCAATAAAGATTTGTTGTTTAAAATATTGTGATAGAATAAAATGTTTGATATTGTTGGATTAAATCATGTTACGGTGCAGAGGGAATCACCATTATAAAAAATGCTAGAATTCAAAAGAAATTAGAGATTTTATAAATAAGTGTTCATTATTCCATACGGGAAGTGTAGATAAGAATTCAAACAAGTCCAGAAAAGTCAACATTCTTTGAATGTTATTATAGATATAAGTTCAGGGATTCTTTCTATATTAACAAATTCAAATGGATATTTCAACGATATACATATATGTTCAGTACCAAAAAAGTATAAAGTTGGTTGAACATATTATTTGAAAGATAAAAAAATTATGACCAAAATGTTGAACAAAGATGAATCCCTGAAGTTTCTTCACTTGCTGTTTTCCTGGTAAGCTGTCTGGACGATATCTAGGCTTATTGTTCTCCTGGTAAGCTGTCTGGACGATATCTAGGCTTATTGTTTTCCTGGTAAGCTGTCTGGATGATATCTAGGCTTATTGTTCTCCTGGTAGGCTGTCTGGACAATATCTAGGCTTATTGTTCTCCTGGTAGGCTGTCTGTTATTGCCTATTGTAGTGTTACTTTTATCTGTGCGAGATTCTGCTTCATTCACAGCTTTTACAATACAAGACAAAATGTACAGAGATGGAGAGAATAGTACGATCCAAGGATTCTCAAATACATCGTTTGCAATATCAGGTAATTAACAGCTGTATATGCATGTGATCTCTAAACTTTGACCTTAGTTATGACCTTTTCTTCGTTCAATCCATTCCCTAGGTTTTGCAGTACAAGAGGAAGTGTGAAGATCTAGAACTTGACCTTGGCGACGTAAAAACACGTTACGATCATCTAAAGTCGGTAAGGGTAGCGTGATTGTGTGCCGCACCCTTCAGCCTAGTGTGAATTAATGCATTCTTTCTAATAGGTGGTGTTTCCTGTGTCCTTCCTACAGTAGCTCAGCACTGCTTACATATGGCAAAACAATGGCATTCTGTAAAGAAAGAATTTTGAAAAATTTCAAGTAAAATTTTCAAAAAAAATAATCTCAAAGCAAAAGCCATACTGGTAGTAGACTTAAAGTGTTCCAGAGGCAAAACATGACCCATACATTGTCTCTCAAGCATTATTTGATATTTTGAAATGATTATGCACGTTGAGCTACTGTTTTTTTTCTATCCCTAAACAATTTCTGATTTTGTTTTGTTTTTCACAAGAATTTTGATTTTCTGCCTGTGTTTTTTTTGTGTCTACAAATTTTAGTTTTTATCTGTTCTGCACCTTTGTTTGACTTTGTCTTTTCCTCATTTGTGTTGGGTCGTGAGCACAATGTCATGCTAGCAACCAATACCATTGTCACTTAATATGTTGACAACATTAATAACAGATAACAGACATTACTCAAGTACATGAGGAACTGAAAAATATTTCTTTTAAAGTTTAAACCAAGAACAAATGACCATATTCATTGGAAACCAAAACCACTTAAGGGAGAGGTTGTGACGAGTGCCAGTGTTTATGCTAGAGAAGCAACAATGACACAGTGACATTTTCTGGTACAGGATTTTGAATTTAGCATTGACTAGTCAAGAAACATTTAAGTATTGCTGATACCATACAGTCTCACAGCATCATTATAAATTCCTTTATTTTTCACAAATTAGTTGACGAAATCCTCTAGAGAAAGGATAATACAGAATTCAAGGGGAGATAATGCACTATGTAAGATTGCAAGATCCTAGAATTAAAAATTAGAATAAGTGAAAATTATTTTAAAAAATAGACAAAATCAGACATGCTTGTGATTGCTTTAGTTAAGATTATATTAAAGATCACTCTACTAGTTCTGTGTGAATTCTAAACGATCCTATTTAATGACAGAGTCTAATGTATGCATGGTTTTCAATTACATTATCCCTCAACTCAAAAAATAGGATCATCCATTAACTTAGACGGCAATGTCCATTATTGAAAATAGGGTGAGCAGGGTTCTTTTAATTAAATGGTATACTTAATTAATATGTATCAATGATGAAAGTTCCTCGCTTTGGGTTTAATGGGATTGTGGACAGAGGGAAATTGGATAAATGCCTTCGTGATATTTGTTCTGGTCAATTTGTGTAATGTTTATTATGATGGAATGTTAAGGTGATGTTTGTACTGGTCAGTTCGTGTAATGTGTGTTGTATAATCACAGTAATTATTGTATGGATGATTATGTAACACTAACTGTTGTCATAACACTCTTCGGACCTTAATTTGAATAAACGGAAAGAAAACTAATCATATGTTACATATTGACTCCGTTACTACTCCCCTCCCCTTTGTATACCTCTCTGAGTCACAGCAAACCATTTATAATGATCATACACATATATGCAATAATGGATTCTACATCTACCCTTACGGTCATCAAACCAGTGCGTAATGTTGAAGTCTGATAACAGAAATAGGGACAAGTTTATACATTGTCCCACAGTTATGATTTATCAAATTTCAAATCCATGTAAAAAGGGCCATTCAGTGGGTTTTAATTGTTACACACATGCATTAACAAATTCTACCTTTAACCTTACTGGTCATCAAATCACTTAGTAATGGTGAAGTTTGATAACAGAAATGGGGGAAAGTTTTCACATTGTTTAAAAGGTTAGGATTTATCAAATTTCTTATCTTTATTCATCTTGATGGCTGCCAAGATAAGAAACTCTTGTCCTTACTTACTGCAGAGTAACAAAATAAAAATCAAGATCGCTGATTAAGCCTTTGCTTTTTAAAATAAAAGAAACCATGTGCTGTGACCCCAATTTATTTGTAAATGTTATCAGTGACTCTCATGGTGATGCACATTTGTTTGCTGAAAATCATTTGGTATAAAGATCTATTCCACGCTTCAAACCCCAGAATCAGGGGACAGGTTCGGACATGACCTGACACAATAATGGCTATATTGTGACCATTATAGGAGAAATGCTTATATCAATATGCCAGAAAATACCTCTCACCAGCAATCAATACTCGTAGAATTGGCTGATCTAGATAAAAGTGAAAGAAATCCTGTACATCCACAGGTACAGAAATTTTAAGCTGGTGCGTACTGATTTAAGGTGTGGTCCTTGGATGAGACGGAGAAGTTCCAGTGTTAACCAGTATCTGTTACTGTAAATTCACTGTAATGGATTAGTGATCAAAGCTGTTTGCTTTGATTGTTTGTTTGTTTGTTCCAATGGTCAAATATTGCCCACTCCAGTTTGAATCTGAAGTCCACTTCACTTGGTTTTATTAAATGTATGAGAAGGATGACTACTTTATAGTCTGGAGTATGTAACACCTGTACGGTCTAATCGTTCTCACCTTATTGGTCAGATTGTTTTCTCCGTCAATCAGCAAGAAATTCTGTTATATAATCTAAAAAATCTAACACAAACGCAACATTGTATAAAGTAGATTTAAAATTAATTTGAAAATGTGTAAGCAGTTGAGTTGGCATATTAATGAAATTTAAAATACTTAAATCTGGTAGGTCCAATTAGACAAATTTAATAATTGTTTCATGGCATGACAATTTATCACTCTGTGTAAACTTCATCTAATTTCTATAATAGGACATTTTTTTGCTGGCTGTAAAACATATAAATATTTTCTCCTGTAAATGTTCTATAATTGTTAGTGTAATGTATACTTGATAAGGTTTAATTTAACAATAGCATGTCAATAGTTGTTGAACAAAATTAGAAAGTTATACAATACCGGCATGTTTAATCAGGTAGGTTCAATTATCACGGGGAATTAAAACCACAGAAGATCAAATAACTACCACACAGAGGCTGAGAACAAACTTGTGCGATCACGAACAGGCAATCCTCATTATATTACCTCATACCTGTAAAGCACTGCTACCATGATGACTTTCTAGTTAAGTGACACATTCAATATCACACACGTTCGCTGTGTAACAAAGACTGCACTGTTACTTAAATCAGTACAAAATTACCTAATCTAATTTATCTAAAAGAAATCAAACATTTCATTTATATCTCAATATCACTCGATGCCATTTTTGTCTCAAAGACTATTTTCACCATATTTTATATATTTAAAAATTTGTTTTTGAATATTTTTTGAGTTAGAAGTTACCAATACATAGAGTTTTAGGAGTCGCATCCATTTTAGTTCCTGGTACGATGTGACCTTGTTTGATTTAGACAAACATTTCTATGTATGTAACATTAATATATATTAATATCAGATTACTGATAAAAGTTCTTGTATTAAGTAAATTCAAGACTCTCTGTATTGTTTTGTTGGCATTTAGTCAGATTTTCTACCCATTAATATGCCGACTTTAAATTCTTATATAACAAGGTAGGTTCTATACATCAACACAATCTATATAAAAGTATTTGCAGACATCACTGATGATTCATTTGTTGTCGGATGTTTCCTGATTTATTCTAAAATAAAACTATTAATAGTTAACAACGGCTTTGTTTAAATCTCTCTTCAAATGCAATTAACCCACAATATTTTGTCATGAACTAAATTGTTTGATTTTTTTTTTCTTAAATACTGACAACTAACTAAAAAAATAATCAGGATTTGTTTTCACATTACCAAAAAAATCATTATCTGAGGTGTTTGTTTTTTATCTCTCTCGCTTTTACACACATTAAAAGAAATAAAATAAAGTTCTCTATTGTGATTTCATGTTGAAGTGTTAACATTGATGTAGTAAACAGTTGGACAGAACCATTGAATTATTTACACAAACATATATAATCGTGAATGTATTTGACCTACCAACAGACCAGTCTGAACTTGTCACACCTGACTATGTGATCAGTATTGACACTTTCTCCTGCTGTGGTCATTTAATCCAGTAATGACCACTGTATTGACCATGATAAGGTCATTAACGTGTCTCTACAGCCAGTGGTCAGACAATTAAAATTTACTGACCACTGTAATGTTCAATATGGCCACTGTAGGTATATATCAGATCTGACCTCAGCTTTATAATGCGAGATGAAATTTTGGAAATTGATGAAATTTGTAAAATGTTTATTATGCAATAATTGATATATATGTACAATGTATGTATATAGTATTATTTAAATCCTTAAATTCAATAACATATTTTACATGGAAAATATTGAAGTTTTGTTGATATTTTTGTTTGTTTATCATTTATGGTAGTTTAACATTGTTCTGTATTATAGATTGTTTTAACTTTGTCAGATAGATAGAGTTTGGATATATAACATGAATCATAATAAGGGACATTTTTTTTTGTTATTTCAGTCGACAGAGAGTTCTAAACAGCAAGAAACTGAAAAAAATATGGATATCGAACAAGTATCCATCAAGCTGGAGGAGGAACAGCAGAGGTACGGAAAGTGTGTTAGGCTTTAATTGTATAGGAATATGGTCACCTTCTAGAGGGAATTCCCCTCCATCTGTAGTGGTAGAACAGTGAACCAATGGTCACAGGTTCAATTCCTGGGGGAGGCACAATTCCAGTCCCCTGTTACAGATAGCGACTTTACTTATGTCATAATGGTAGTGACAGAGAAGTATTGGGGATGGAGAGGGGGGGGGGGGGGGGGGGGGGGGGGGGTCTATACTAATATACTAATATATAGTTTACTGCGTAGCTAATATTATCTCAATCGTATGATACATTCACTCACAGGTATAATTAAGTATATGCATTAGAAAAAATCTAGTGAATTCCTGTTTCAATATAAAGGATGCCTATTTTGTTATCACTGTGATAAATTCATACAAGGAAAGAAGTATGGTATGATGTAAATTCTGTTTGTTCTATTTCATATTTCATACCAGCTCACTCAGGGGAGGGCTGTGTGTCAGTTTGTCAAATTTTACTATCATTTTCAACATCTGTGTTGCATGGATAAATGTCAGTCAATTTCAGTATGACAATAGTATTTTTTTTAAGTATAGGACAGCAACATAAATATTTTATTTTCGCTACAGAATTGGACTCAATGATCCGTGTTATTTCGGGCTTGAAAACAACTATGGGAGTGACAACACAGTACAATTAGTACAATACTTTAGATATAGGTCAATATTCTATAGGTAAATAGGTCAATTTAGAGGGGTATAATGGAAGCTGGGTTTTATCATCGTTAAATACTTCATGACAGAGTTATTGGTGTACTTTACGGGGTAAAACAGCTCTAGAAACACTGGTGTATGATAAAATGTGATAGATTATCAATATAATGATGCAGCACCTAGACCTGTGTAAGAAGTGATCGGATCGTAATAACCCACAAATCAAAATGATTTATTGGTAATTAGATTTAAAAGCTAATGAAGAAGTGTACACATATTGATGGAAATAACTCACATAACATTAGCTATAGATTTTATCTGTGTGGCAAAAAATGATCTCTTCCATAAAAAATCCACAAACCTACACAGTATTATAGATCTGATATATAAACCTGACATAAAATCTCCTGGGACGTCCTGCATGATCAAATATGGATGATGCAAAATCACCCAAGCATGGAGAACAGGATGCTGAATCAGCATATCCCATCAACAAGTATTGTACATCTTGATGAACTCTGTCATAATTAGTCACAAACAATAATAGATCATGTGTTATTTATTGTGCATTAAATGAATTACTGTTACATATGTGTCAGGTCTGTTATAGGTTATGTAGGTTTTCTATCATGGTAGAAATCATGATCTTAATATCCAGTTATTTACATGGTGAATGAGTTCTTTTGTGAGAAAATGGAAATGGCCTTGTTTAAATATTCATTGTTTGTCAGTGGAAACGGAGAATGGTTGCTTGGATGAATGATGGATGGGAAAATTGTGTTTAGCATTGAGAATAAATAAATATGTAGCTGTACATTGTAGAGATTCCCTGTATAAGGGATAACAGGCTTTGATCAGAAATGATATACCTCTGTCACATACATGTACTCGCCTGGAACATTGGATTATAGTCAGACATCTTTGATATTTAAAACAGATCAAAGCTAAGCATCGACGATTACACAAAACAAGAAGATGAAATAAAGTAGGAATACTTAATGATTTTAAGGAAAGGTTGATCATAGTGTTACTGCTGTATAACGGAGGGATATTTAATATTTGTAAATGATATGTGCAATCTGTGATCTGATGAATTCATTAAATTCTAAATTTCGGTTTACCATTGTATGAAAGTCTGACCTTATTATCCTTGTTGATTGACCCCTGTCCCATGACCCTTGTTGATTGTATAACCCCTTTGACACTTAGGACTGTTTTTGGATGTAGAACCCCTATGGCCTTTACTAATTGTATGACCCCTTTGACCCTTGTTGATCATATGACCCCAATGATCCTTGTTGCTTGTATGACCTCTTTAACCTTAGGTTATTGTATGACCTCTTATAACCTTAGGTTATTATATAACCCTAATGACCTTTGTCATTGTATGACCCTAATGACCTTTGTCATTGTATGACCCCTATGAACATTGATGTATTAATGATGTTGACAACTCTTGATTGTTTTGAAATTTATGCCCTCTGATTGTTTGATGTTATAGGAGTGCCAGTCTGGCCCATGTGAATGCTATGCTGAGAGAACAGCTAGACCAGGCCACAGCAGCAAATCAATCTCTCACCAACGACATCCATAAACTTACCCAGGACTGGCAGAGGGCACGTGAGGAGCTTGACGCCAAGGAGAATGAATGGAGGGAAGAGGAACAGGTAGGTTAATTGTTTAACTTCTGTTTGTAGGGATGTATGATCAGGTGTATTCAGTGGAAGTGATGATTTTCTTGTCAGATAACATATCGACATTTTTACCTTAGTGTTGGGAAGATTGCACTGTTACTGTACATTTTCTGTGATCTAAACAACCAGATTTAGAAAGAAATTTGCTTTGATTCCAGTCCTTCAATGAGTACTTCAGTGCTGAGCATGGACGTCTTTTGAATCTGTGGCGACAAGTTGTCGCTTTTCGGCGCAGTTTTGGTGAGCTGAAAACAGCCACTGAGCGTGACATGTCACATGTTCGTGCTGATGTGGTCAAGGCCTCACGCAGTGTTCACTCTGCCTGTCTCAACCTCAGTGCTAACATGCGTAACTCGGAAACCTCCTCCCAGGTATGTTTACCTTCTTTTTTGTTGACGTGTAATATATTAATTCTTTCCCAAGCTACAGAGTTGAATACCACTCTTCACTTTTAAAGATATTTCCTTTTTTCTCTCTTCTGGTCTCGTATGTATTGGAATTCTAAACTCAACTGATTTCTTCTTAATCCTACAGGTTCTTCTTGACCGTGAGCGAGCTGACCGTACATCGCTTGAGTCACAGTTGAGGGACAAGATCCGTGAGGTTGGAGAGGTCCAGAGTCGCTATGACATCCACAGCTCTGAGCTCAATGCCAAGTGAGTTTCTAGTCTTTGTGTAAGCTTTGAGAGGGGAGAGTCAGAGTCTAAAACTTGCCATGGTCTTATAAGAATTAGATCATTTTTGTTTAACATTCTGACTTAACGTGTGGATGGACAGAGGGACAAGATTTAGTAGTTTTGATCAGTGGAACAAGATTTCATTCTATATATATATATATATATATATATATATAATGGTCAGGCCATATTTTCAGACTTACAAGGGTTTTTTTGTACATTTTATTTAGTTTAGCTGAATGTCCCTCTCTGGTTTTACACACAAACACTGTACAGAAACCTCAGTAAAGCTTACACCCTATGTCTTGTTTACAGAATACATAAACAAGGAAATATTGTGATATCCTAGATCAGAGAATACGGATCTAGTCTGTAACCACGAGAGTCTCATTGTATAGACAGGAATGTTTGTATACTATTTCTGTGCCTCTTTATAAATAATATATACCAGAGAAAATCTATTGAGTACGAGAACTGTGTCTTAGACATAGTAGAAATATATCATCCAGCTTTGTCATCACATCTGATGGTCTTTCAAGGTATCCCTTAAAGTAGCAGTACACAATCCACAATCTCTTACATAATATATATTTAATTATGTATGTGACCTAATTTTCTCCATATACGTCATATTTCTATTCTTCATGTAGGTAAGACACACTCTCAGGAATCTCCAGTCTTCAGCAGTTTTTGGTCATGTTGTGATCAGATTTTTGATAAATTTTTAATTTCTGGCGTCAGACATGAAGGTGTGTTTATTTTGATATGACTGGAATTCTTTAGCTATATATTATTGATAGACAGGGTTCTCCAGTACACTGTTGTTTACTATAAGTGAGACTGTAGTGGTCTAGGAGGGTTACTATTGTCCAGGTATACAGGTGTAACATACAGGTATTATATACCTGTCCAGACTTCTGGGAATGGACCTATTTTTAGCTATGTAAGGATGCAGGACACCGATATACAAAAGTGTATATACCTGTCTAAACATTGGTATGTGTATTGATCTGCAGGGTGAATGAACTGACCATGATGAATGAGAAGCTCAAGATCCAACTGGAGGAGCGAGAGAAGACCATTTCTAACCTCCAACGCAACATTGGTAACATGGAAACACGCCTTGGTGAGCGCAGCTATGACCTTCCGGAGACCGACACTGCCCGCCAAATGAGAGAGGAAACCGACACCATCCACCTTGCTCTCCGTAACATTGCTGAGGCAGTGATGAATGATGTAGATGAGGTTCCTCTGGATGAAGAGGCAGCTGAGGCTGCTGGAGGTCGCACATCTCCAACAAGGGCAAGGTCAATCTCCCCCACTGCAAGGGCAAGGTCACCCTACATCAGAAGTCGGTCCAAATCTCCTCTGTCTGGTACAAGGTCACCAGCTTTCGCCGACGCTACATTCTCAGCGGTTCAAGCTGCTCTGAACAAGCGTCAACTCCAGGTGGCAGAACTTCGTGCGAAGCTTAACGCGACGCGCGATCATAACTGTGTCATCCGGAAAAACCTTGATGACCTTGATAATGAACGCCGTAGAATGGAGGTTCAGATCCTTAATCTTAAGGAAGAGCTGGACATAGCGTAAGTGTTATTACTGTCAGGATCAGGGATGTGTAAGTGTTATTACTGTCAGGATCAGGGATGTGTAAGTGTTATTACTGTCAGAATCAGGGATGCATAAGTGTTATTACTGTCAGGATCAGGGATGCATAAGTGTTATTACTGTCAGGATCAGGGATGCATAAGTGTTATTACTGTCAGGATCAGGGATGCATAAGTGTTATTACTGTCAGGATCAGGGATGCATAAGTGTTATTACTGTCAGGATAGGGATGCATAAGTGTTATTACTGTCATATAAAGGGATGCATGTGTTATTACTGTCAGGATCAGGGATGCATATAGTGTTATTACTGTAGGATTATTACAGGGATGAATAAGTGTTATTAATATATATGGGATGTGTATGTTATTACTGTCAGGATCAAGAGAATATATTACTGTCAGGATCAATGCAGAAGTGTTATTATATAATGTATATGCATAAGTGTTATTACTATTACTTATAGGATTAGAAAATATTTCTTTATAATATAAAGGGGCTGGCTTCTTACAGGACAAGAGAATATTTCTATATAATGTATATGGGTAGGATTATTACAGGACAAGAGAATATTTTTAACATATAGGGGCAGGCTTATTATAGGACAAAAAAACATGATAATTCTAAATCTGGGTGAGCTTTTTGCAGAATATGGGTGTGATTAATTGAAGCTAAAGAATACTAATTGTAATATTTGCCATGTTGTAATCTTGCTTGTGCCTGTTGAACACCACATTACCAAGATTACACAGTGTATTGATGATGATGTATGTACAATATCTGCCCTTTGGTGATCCAGGAGGAGAGACCATGAAGATTCCAACCGCGACCGTAACAGAATCAAGAACGTCCTTAGTCTGACAGGTAATGAGAAGTCACAGCTGGAGAAGGTTCGTCAGGAACTCAATGACCAGATCGAGGGTCTACAACAGGAGAATGAGAAACTACAGGCAGCCAACACAGATCTCCAACGGCAACGTGACAATATGGAGGATGAACGCGATGATGTCTCCAAAGATAAGGACCGCCAGGTCAAGGAGAACGAAAGGAGGTAGGTCAGAGGTCGTCAGAAAATATACAGTAGTCCATGATTTATTTATAATTCTCAGGACAAGGAGAATGAGATGAGGTAGGTCAGAGGTCGTCAGAAATTACACAGTAGTCCATGATTTATTTATAATTCTCAGGACAAGGAGAATGAGATGAGGTAGGTCAGAGGTCGTCAGAAATTACACAGTAGTCCATGGTTTATTTATAATTCTCAGGACAAGGAGAATGAGATGAGGTAGGTCAGAGGTCGTCAGATATTACACAGTAGTCCACAATCTATTGATTATCCCAAGGAAATAAAAATGGAGATGAATTGAAGTAAATTGATGTTGTCATATTTTAAAAACATGAAAATAATGTGTATTTAAGTGTGGAAAGAGAATGTTTGATGGAAATAATTGTAATGAATGTAATTATTGTTGACTGTCAGTCTGACAACCTGACATTACACAAAGTGTTATGAGAAGGAAAGTGCCCACTCAGTAGTGTAATGCTCTATAGAAGTCCTGTAACGCTTGACAAAGCCAGTATCAAATGAAGGAGAAGGATTGTCTTTGTTAGAAATGCAAAGCACTCGGATCTAATGTATCACAGAGATGGTGGGAAATCCACACTGATAAATGATCTATGTTCATACTTGACTTCTGAGAACGAGTGTTATGATAATGTCACATGTTGCATTTACCTACAGTTGGGCAAATCAACAGTTTCATATTTACATTCAATTTAACGTCACTAGTCCAAAATCACATATTACATAAGGATGGATTTTATCTTGATAAAAGAGATTCCCAGTTAAGATCAAATAAAACTTGATAAGAATATGTCCATTGTGAGTCGACTGTTCAGCCAGAAAGTCAACACACAGCCTATTGAAAATTCAACCCAAAGCTACTTTATCATATCAAGTTAGTTGAGATCAAATGCAAAATCATATGCATTGTAAGGTGAAAGGCCAAACTTATTAACATCCAGAGATTGAAATATAAATGGCATTTAAAATTTCAGGTAGGGAAACCTGCAGGTGAATTGTTATACAGGTGTAAATTGAATGTGTACCTGATCTTCAACTTGGCATCAGATTTTCTGTATTTGATATCACAAGTTTTGATTTTGGGAAAGAGAGAAGGGAAATTGTAAATTAAAATATAAAATGATTGAAGATATTTTGATATTTGCAGGTGTTGACTTTCAAGGCACAAATATTCACATCTCAATATATGGTCAAAATATTTGTCAAACATATATACTTGGATTAATGCAAATATTACACATTATGTTTTGGACTGAAGTAAAGTAAATCAATCTGTATGTTTTACGATCAGTAATGATATAATTGTCAGTGTGATTCATTAGTGTAAAATACCAGTGCTGTTAAATTATTTTCTGTGGCAGCTGTCAGCTTTTGTGATTTTCACATCACAGACAATTGGCAAATTTGTTTTTGTTGTGAAATTCATACAGTAAATTACACATAAATGAAAGTTGGTTCACAGTGTACAAATCTATGTAATCAGATTTGTATTTCACATTGAGTCATTTCCTTTAAGAAAAATCTATACACTGCTATGTATATGAATGCTGCTTGCAATCAATATCAAGTTTTATAATGCAGATCTTTACATTTATGATTACAAAGTAATTTAGGTTAAAGTTAATGAATTACTAACTAAATCAGATGATTGAATTATCTGAAATCAAGAAATTTTAAGAACCTTCCAGAAATTGGTTTAACATAACTCTTTTATAAGCATTCTAAACTTATTTTCGAATCATTGAGTTTGAACTTCAACAGAATGAACTTTTGAAATTACAGTCACCGTATGATTGACCAGTTGGAGCACAAGAACAGTACACTAAAGGAAGAATTGGTTTCCACAAAGGAAGCACTGAACCGTGCTCTTCTGGACAAAGAAGTTCTTGAGCAGCAGAAGGGAGAAATTTGTGAGTGGCACATCTTGTATTCAAATCTTCATTAAAAATAAAACTGAAGGGAAAATATGATTTTTTAAAAAATGATTAACCATGATAGATGATTGAAGATTAAAGAGAGCAGTAAGATTTTAAAGAATATTCATGCATACATTCTGAAATGTCAGTTTAATTGTATTTTGAGGTAAGGTTGAATGAGAAAATATGATTTCACTATTAAATAAGCACTGATGATAAGAAATCTTTCTGTCATAACAGCGGACACTCTGTCCAAGGCAGAGTTACAGAAGGCAGACCTGGAGCTAGAAATTAACCGTACTAACACAGAGGATGCCGGCCTCAGGGATGCCCTGCTCAAGATGCAGGCTCTTAATGAAGGACTTGGTCAGGACAAGATTGAGCTCAACAAAATCATCATGCAGGTATGAATTTATATACTTATACATGACAGCTACTGGGATGATATAGCAGGGCCTGAATGTTAGCAATGTTCTATTTCTCCAACATGTATGTGGTGTCCTTGTGGCCCAGACTATATATATGAACTATATGTGTATGTTGTCTTTTAGGCCCTGGTTCTGTACACGATGTCCTTAAGCCCTGACTATATATACTATTTCATTTAGCTCTGACTATATGTCTACTGTGTGCACTGGTCTGGATTATGTATACTATGTCCTTTGGCCCTGGTTATGTATGCTATGTCCTGTGGCCTTGATTATGTATACTATGTCTTCAGGCCCTGATAATGTATACTTTATCCAGAATTCCTATCTATATATACTATGTCCTGTGGCCCTGATTATGCATACTATGTCCAGAAGCCCTCTCTATATATACTATGTCATTCATCACAGATGGAATCTGAGAAGGCAAGCTTGGCTGGAGAGAAACAATTGCTGGAGCAAGAAAAGACAGGAATCCGTGAGGAACTTGTTCGTGTGGAACAGGAGAAGATGGATCTGGACACCGAGAAGATGGGTAAGCGTCCATTTAATTCATTGTACTAATTATTTAGAAGATGTTTTAATACCGATTACATAGGTAGACGACTGTTGATTCCATTCTCTTGTGATGATTGGAATCTGACCTTGACAATTTCAGGCTTGAACCAGACTTTGGAGTTGAGTGAGATGACAAGGCAACAGCTAGAGGATGAGATTGGAGCCCTGAACAGAGAGAAGGGAGAGGTGACAGAAAACCTTAACGCTGTAAGTCATGTATTGAGTTGGCAATAATGTAACACATTGAAATTACTTGTGTCTTTTGACTTAATGCATATTACATTATAACAGATAATTATGATGTTTGGAATTTATGTTACAGACAAGCAGACAGAAGCAAGCTTTGGCTGAAGAACTGGTAGCTACAAGGAAAGAGGTAGAACGCCAGACTGGTAACTATGTCCGCGTAGCAAAGGAGAAGGAAATCCTTACACAAGACAAGGGAGAACTCATTGTACAGGTCACTGCCACCGAGCGCGAGAACCGCCAGCAGAGCGAGATGATCGCAGCACTCCGCAGCGAGAAGGACAGCTTAGAAAGTGCCCTGTACGAGGTGACCCAGCAGGCTCAGGGTCTGGACGCCCGTAAGGAACAACTGGAGGGTGAGAACCAGGAACTCATCATCAGGAAGGAGAACTTACAGGGTAGGCAGAATGTTTTAAATAATGTAAATATATACAATAAAATCAAACATCTGTGTTGTTTATACCTACTTTCTGGCATTACTGCATTCCTGTGATGATTTCACCTTTTGTGACCCAGTTGACAATTTCGAAAATTGACGATTGTGTACAAAATATTCCAGCTGAAATCAACCGCCTGATGAAGGAGAAGGAGGCAGATATCGAGAAGTTCGAACACCAGAAAGAGGAGCTCAACAAGCGTTTGGCACAACTGGAGCGTGACATGCAGATGGCTCTGACACAGGAGAAACAGACTCACGAGGAGGACGTAGAGAGACTCACCAGGGAAAGGGTAGGTTTAGGTTTTATAGCTAAAGGTGTAGAAATCTTGAATATAGTACAAATGTTTATAATTCCCAGTATATTCTGAGTATTTACATATTTTGTTTTAATGAAATGCTAACTTCCCCCTGACATGGTTAGGGAGAAATTTTATTTGGTTCCTCCAAAGGAATGTTAGTCAAACGAGGCAGAGGTTCAGAACTTTATCGAAAACCAATCCTCTTTTGTTGCTCTGAAGTTTTATGATTTCCATACCATAACAAATCTGTGGTAATTGACTCTCTGGCAACAGGTTTAATTAAATTGTGCTAACGTTAATATCTCTGTCTTGATTTACAGTTATTAACATCCGAGAACTTAAAAGCAAAGGAAATAGCACCTGTGATTTTGTTTTGTTGACAGTCTCTGTAGATAGGCATTAGAAAACGAATGACCTCAACTGTTTTATATAATTTCATTTTAAAGATTTTTGGATTTCGGTTTTATAGGAAGTCCAGCGCCAGGAGTATGAAAACGAGCGTGATGAACTGCTTCACCAACACGCCATGGAGAAAGAAGATCAGGTGATGAGAAATGACCGTGAACGTGAAGAACTCCAGGAGGAACTGGCTAACCTTCAGAGGGACCGTGATAACTCCCTACTCATGGCCGAGAATGACAAACAGCAGGTAAAGGATTCAGCAATGTCTGCTTTTATGAATCAATGTTGCCAATAAGATTGCAATATTTCTGCATACAAATACTTTGATTGGAAAATTTCAGGAAAAATTGTAAAGTTAAATAATATCCACTTTCTAAGCAATGGCAAGACCAATAATAACTTTCAGAAGGTTGTCATTGGAATGAAACATCAGAATAATGTTAGCTCTCATTTCATGTCTGAAGCACATTGTTACACAATCGTAATACCAAATAGACATTCTATGTAAAGTAACATAACAAAATGAAAATTTGGATTCTAATTTAAAGAATATCAAATTTCAAATGCTAATTCTTACTGTGAAGAACAAATCTGTGTACACACAACTGAACTGATGTGTATTTTATGTGTATCAAAATAGGATTTACTATCATTAAACACTACTCAGCATAGACTGTGGTTCATGGTCAGGTTGTTACATATATGTGATTTGACAAAAAATTACTATCTTAAGTTGTGCCAAATCAAAAAATAGTGTAAAATGTTTGTTAGCCTTAAAAATTGTCTGCCTTGTTGTCTTAGCTTTGTTTCTTGAGAGGATGGATTCTCAGATGTTTTACTGATATTTGTCAGAGTTGTTCTATTTTTCCTATAATACTTTTCTCAAAGAGAAAAATCAGGTAACCTGTTTATACATTATTCCTAAACTTACAGACTATGTCCCTACTGGAACAAGAAAAGAGCACTCTGGCTGAGAAGAACAACAACCTCAACATGGATCTGGCTGCTGCTAATGTTGAGTATGAACGTCTGAAGCGTGAACATCAGTCACGACAGGAACAGGACCGTACCAACATCAACGCCCTCAACAGTGAGCTCAAGAACTTCAGGTCTCAGTTTGAGGAGAAGTGGTAAGGTCCTTTTCACTACACTTTTTTAAACCATTATGTGATTGAGAAATCCCTTGAAATGCTTCCTAAGATTTCTTCACTCTCATGTAGTTGATCATGTTTTTACCCTTATTGAATGGTTTAATTTTTCAAAGGGTCAAATTTTTTAAGGTTGAAGTTTAAAGGGGTGTATCAATCATGGAAGTCCAGAAAAATCGATGGATATCTCTGTCTCTGTATTTTCAAAATATTTATTATTTATGATTTAATTCATTCTGGAAAAATGCTTAAAAATATAACAATTTGGTCAAAGTAATCTCTTATACTGTAAATATATAAGTATATTCTTAATTCCTAGCCTGTCTTATATAGTATTAAAATTAGATAATCTGAAAAATCAGGTAATCTGATTGGATGATGTGATCACCTATTCAAGGAATTTCAGGTGTCTACATAGGACTGGTTATGATCATTTTTCTCACAAAATAGTGCTGCTGATCTACTCTTAGTGTATTGCCTGATAAAATTTGGTGGGATTTTCTTTATAGCGAGTTACATGAGAAGGAAGTGAAGGACCTCAACAATGCTATCCGCGATCTGGATCGCCAGAGAGAGGCTGCCCTGGGTGAGGTAGCAGAGCTGAAGACCCAACTGAAACTGGTGGAAGAAAATCGGGACAACATTCGTAGGGACCTCATTGATGCAAACAGGAAGATCAGAGAGGGTGAGAGAACAATTGAAGTTGTTTTGATTCCTGTGTACAAATCTGGCCTTAGTTCAACCCCTGTTTACGACCTTTGACCCAAATTTGACCTTTGTATACAACACTTGACCTTGACCTCTTTATTACAGGTGATGAGATCAAGGAGCTGATGAGGAAGGACATGGTAGAGCTGAAGAGAAATATGAATGATGAGATCCGTGAGAAGGACACTGTCATCAAGACAGCGGAAGATCTCAGGAACACCGTCAAGAAGAATGAATGCGACAAGATTGAGCTCAACAGGTCTCTCTGTGACCAGAGACAGAAGAGCGCAGGTAAGTACTCAACCTTGTACTCTAACAAATTGCATTAATTCTTGTGTTCCTTCGAGAAGTTTTGCGTTCATTTATCCTATTTTTCGCTTTGGTTGGAATGTTGAATTCATCACAAGTTTGTAAATTATAAAAAATGTATATGCAAGGCTTGCATTACTTAGAGGTTAAAATACTACAAATTATATTACAAAATGATCAATTTTATCGCATCAGTTCATAGGGTTTTCAGGGACATCTACATTTTTTAAAAACTGGCAATTAAAAACCATGAAGAAAAGAAAACCTTTAAATTACTAAATTTCCTGAAGTTGGATATGTTTGATTTACCAGTGTAATTTCCATAAGTAGTAAAATTATAATGTTATATCTATAATGATGCAGTATTGGAAGAACAGAAGGCTGTTGTCCAAAAGGAGGCTGGTGACCTACGTGCCAGTCTACGTGAGGTTGAGAGAGCTCGTTTGGAGGCTCGCCGTGAGTTACAGGATCTACGTCGCCAGATCAAGATGTTGGACGGTGAGAGAAATAAACTAGGAAATGAGGTATCTGACCTTCAAGTGAGGGTCGCCCGTGATGAAGAGAAGGAGGAGGAGTCTCGCAGACACTCATTCGACCTCAAACAGAAGGTAGGTCAAACATAGATTATATTGTGTAAATATCGAAATATAATGTCTTAATTATTCCATTGTCCAGTAAAACAAGATAAGTACAATTCCATTTGAGATAAGAATGTTTGCATATCTGTGGACAGGTTGTAGAGACAGAGGCAAGTAGGGATGCCCTACGTAAAGAACTTGCCAACCTTCAACGTAAGATGGGCGAGCTCGCAGACGAGACTCATCTGAAGGAAAAGGATTACCAGATGGCACTTGAGGACAGTCGACGTGCTGAAAAGAAACTTGAGGACAGGGCACGTAACTTGGAAATCACCCTGGAGCAAAGCAACGCTGATGAAGCTGAGTTGAAACTGAGGCTAAGCGGTGCTGAAGGTCGGGTAAATGCCCTTGAAGCAACCTTGGCTAGATTGGAGGGAGCAAAGCGTGATGTGGAGTTCAAGCTTAGCAGCATTGTGTCCAGTTTGCGAAGGACCATTGGATTCCGGCAGGAAATGCCACGTGCACGCAGCCCTGTCAGATCACGTACACCAAGCCCTCGCCGATCTCGGCCCAATTCACCCACTAAAGGTAAGTTACTCATGTTTGAAACAATTGCTTGCCAATTCCTTGCTTCTCACTTCCACATAACATTCAAGCAATTACAAGATGTCAAAATGTCCAACAAATTGACTTTCCGTTTACATTTTATATATTGTGTAAATTCATTTAACATTGACATGTGTGTTTGAGCCATTCCTGTCTTATAAACATTTTCTAGTTTTACTACTGATATTACAGAAACTATGAAACATTTGAATGTGTTACAATACGTATTTGAAATCTCTTGTTTTTTGTGATCAGCTGAAAACAAACTTTACTTTCCTTGTGTATTATAGCAATGTAAAGTCATCGAATAATCGTTTTAAGACCATGAAAAAAAAGATGATCCAGTATGATTTACAATATCATCATATACAATTAAATATTTTTTGATAATTATTCTGATGGTGTTAGAATGATTTTGTGATGGTATTCCTGTTGTTCAGGCCTACAAGTTCTCTCTGTTACAGGATTTGACAACACCTTTGCCACCACCACAGAAGGCCGAGGCAGTCCCATTCCTAGAACTGGATCCCCAGAACGTATGGGCAGCCCCACCCGTATTGGCTCCCGTGGGGCTTCACCCATGAGGTTAGAGTACTCTCGAGAAGTGGCTCCCACCGATGTGGATCCTGAGGCAGTCAGGATGGCCCTTAGGGACTTCGTACAGCAGCTGGCTGGAGCTGAGCGTGAGAGGGTCAGTTTAGCTTCATTATTTAATCAAATGTACATGGAAAACTTTTCAGTTTGAGTTAGATAACCTCTGAACACTGTTACATTATGCAAAGTCCATTCATACTTACTAATTTGAAGATTTATGGAGCTAAGTTAGTAGCCACCATGTTACATTCAAGAAAGGCATTTTGCCCGTCTCAAAGAACCAATGCACTTATTGTAACGGCACATGCAGTTAATGCATATGCACAAACAGCACACAGTCAAGTTCCTTGCCATTGGTAAACAGAAATACTCTGCTTGTCAGACTCAAGTATACATTTTATGTTGTGATTATAAGCTCTATATTCCCTTTTCATGTGGTGTTTATAAGCTGAATATTCCCTTTTTATGTGGTGTTTATAAGCAGAATATTCCCTAAACTTTATGTTTTGTATGTTTCAGGACGATGCTATCCAACAGAACAGATCACTTGCCACCCAGCTGAGGGAAATTGAAGAGGAACGTGAGAGGATTCAGGCCAGGCACGGACAACTCCAGAAATCTCTTGGAGAGGTTGAAGAAGGTAGATAACTCTTCATATCACAAATCACTTCATCATTTTATCATCTTCATCACTTCATTATTCACTGACCTTTTAAGAAAATTGTCGAAAGATATTAAGTTTTTAGTTTTAAATTTTTAACTGATATGAATTTGATATCAGTTTCCTCAAAAATACCTGATTCATTTTATGAATTGTTCAGTGAATAAATTCATGATTGGCTCAAGCTTATAGTTACACCTGCCTGACACTTCCTCATACAGTCAAACCTCATTATCTGGAACTTGGCGGGACCATGGGGGAAACTTTGATTTGAATGAGTTTGTATGTTTTGTGTAAAGTTATATTAGGTCAGGAGCGATGAAATGCTCGAAATTAAGTTTTTGTTTTGAGTTATACAAGTTTGAGATAACAAGGTTTAACTGGATGGTAGTTTTAGCATTTTATTCATCAATACACACCCATGTTAGAGAATGTAATATAACTAAAAAGCTTTGTCTTTAGAACCGTAATAAGATTGTGAATGTGAGAACCTGACTAGATCTACTACTTGGTAATTCTAACTTCAGTGGAAGGATATAATAATGGCAGTTACTATTATAGATGTAAGTATGGACTGGTAACATTCGTGTATAATATTTATCCTTGGCTGGTGTATGTGTAGTTCTGACTATTCCGGTTGGGAAGATAAAGGATCATATCCCAACACAGTCTGATGTTTGTGTACTTATAACTTTCTCAGTGTAAATGGACTTATAACTGTCCTGGGCTAGTAAAGCAGGGTTTTTTTCTGCTTCTCGTAATTATCTGATGCATAAGATTAACCAACGTTTGGTGAAGGATACATGTCTTCTATACAAATAGTTTCTTAATGGGGAAACTGGTAGTGGAAACTATGCCTACATGTGTATGGCACAGATCTGGTATTTTGTCTTCGGTGAAAAAAAATTTTATTTTCAATTTAATTGATTATCCGCCTTCATTGGAACCGATTGTAATGTTAGGGTGTCTGTAAACCTGTCTTACGTCAGAGAGGAACTGAAATTATTTTGTAAGTCAACATTATTGACATAAAAGGAACTCTAATCTTTTTATGGAATGAACGTAATAGATACATAGGGTACAAAGTACATTGGATGATAGTGAGGATGAGCAAAATGCTTCAGAAATTTTAATACCAGTTTTTCTTGCTTTGTACATATATATGAAAAATGGGTTTGATTGTCAGAAATTACAAACATTTTTCTTAAATTATGAAAATGATGACAATTTGTTTGTGATTGAATCTTGGTTTATGAAGTGTTTACCATTATTAGGTGTCTGTGATCATTGACAATTAATTTGTAAACAAGCTTGAGCCTCTCATGTATTTAACATACATCCTTCATGTATTTACTTCCATTATCATCATATACTCACATAACCACTAATTATCGTTAGATAATCTAGTAATGACTGCAATTTTAATTCTATAAAATGGGAACTTTTCTGGGATTGAAAATAGAATATTGAAATATGTTTTGGTGTTCTTTTTATATCAATTAAAACTCACACCATAATACCAGGATATACGCAGGTACAAATATCAATATATATATATAAACAAATTAAGATAGGATAGGAATGAGAAACAATTGTTTTGGTCTTGGGATATTTTAATTTATTGGTTTTATGGTTGGAAAAGGATTGTTTGTTTGTAAATTAAGGACAATCCTACAAACTTATAATATTATTCTTTCTGACTAGCCTTGAAAAACATTTTTCAGGCATGTATCTACCTGTGCAGTTCCAACACAATTTAGGCCTGAAATATTAATGTTTGATTGTCAAACTAGGTATTAACTTGTTCTTGAAGGGAGATAACTCTATCTCATTTGACAGCTGCAGAACCAATATTCTGCTAGATAATGTTATAACACCTAGATGTAGACCCCAGTAAGTACCTGTGAAAAGTAATATACTTAGGTAATAAGATCTGGTATTTAATGCACTTCCTTTGAACTGCCCCGGAATGACAGGGTCAGTGGTTTGTACTCTTTGTGGGTGCCTGGTTACTGTTGGTTAAGATAGGGTAAATTATTCTCTACAAACAACCTACTGTGATTTCTCCTTCACCATAATACCAGGATTTCTCCTTCACCATAATACCAGGATATTAACAGGTACCTTAGCATTGATGTTTTATGTTCAGATTTAAATTGTGTACTTTTGATCTCTTAGGTGCAAGCCATGAATATTTATTTATATCTTTTGAATAAGGTATACAACTTTTGAAATTTTAAAATGTACATCAATGGGTTAATAAGCTAATACAGACACTTATTGTGTGTCCCAGTATTTGACTGATAAAGGATTTATTCACTTCTGATAGGATCAGTGATGTAATCCCAAATGGCTACTTACTTATATCTGACCATTGTTACAGCGACTTCTCTAAGGACTGATCAGTGACAATGAATTATTTATCATAATGGTAGCATATAAAGGACTTGTTATAATTTTATAGGGTTTGGTATATATCTTGGGACAGGGACGGTGCTCGTCTGCTGCCCTAGGTTAAAGGTGAATGATAATTAATTATAAATAAATTGTAAACTGTTTTCAGATTTTCTTTTGTTCTTTATTACCTTCACAAATCTTTAAAACATGTTTTAATGAAACAAACAGCAGTGAAGTGTCTAGACAGTTAAAAACTAGCCTGTATAATGAATGTAAAATGTAGCCATCTGTTTAAAGTTGATTGTTACCAGGCAATGAGTCTGAGTCTGCAGTTACCATTGATATAGTTCAACCAGATCGAGAAGTATATAGAAAATTCTTTTCTGAGAGATTTTAATAAGTTGATTAGTAAATAATTTGAAATATTTTAACACAACATGAAATTTGTTGATGAACATATATTTATATTTTCACAGTCAACATTAAAATGTAATCGGATTCTCAACTTCTGTATACATGAATTTTGTCAGAAATTTGAGAAATAAAGACGTCATTTGTTTGATCATGTTGGGGGTCATGCTGGTTGAGTTTTTTAATTCCTGGACAAGTTTGAATACATGTTGTGACATGGTGTGTTGAAGAGCAGTAAGTCTGCTGATTGTACCACACTGTAACAGTGCTGGGTTAGCCCACAGTGCCCTGTAGGAATACACTTTCAAATGTGGGTTAGATTTTATAAAATATTGAGATTTATCAGTAAAATCTTTCTACAAAGACTGAAAGGTTTTAAAGGTAGAATTTCTGCTGAAGATCTGATTATTGTATTGAATTTCAAACATTGGAACTTGGAAAGGAAACTTGGTTGACTTTTATACAACAAACACAAATAGAAAGGTCTGCTCCAAAATACAGGTTTTTAATAAGCAAAGATTTATGATACAGTAAATTGATTTCTTTTGACATCAGATTATATATAACATGTACAATTAGATTTCGGCAATGTTAAATAATTTGTGATTTATTTATTCTTGTGGTCTATGACTTTGATTAAAGGGAAACCCAGAGAGTTTTAAAGGCTGGGCGTCACGATCATGTAAATGGTGATAGATCAACATTTACAACTTAATGAATGGCTGACTGGAGACCTGGAGCATTCAATTGTATTTAAAATACCCAGAGATGTTAGAATTATTGACATTATTATAGTAGATGTGACTTCAATAGCATTAAATGTCCCCTATAATTCTCTTGGCCATTACAACCGGAACAACCTCATCAAAGTCCTGAAAGAAAAACTTTCCGCTCAACAAAATTGTGGACTAGATATTTGATAAGATATAGGTCACATGATAAATGACCAACTAATCAGATTTTTTGTCGACGCTACATACTAGCCTGAATGTTTACTGTCAGATACTTGATCCTATTTTTATCTATACGACCAGGAGATTAGGTAAAGCTCGTCTTTTATTGGGACTTAAGAAGAATTGAGATCGGTATATTGTATGTATCCGATCTGTGTATTCCCTCGCACAACTCTGACGTGTCATAACCTGTAAAAAATTCCTGTCAGCAATCAATATATCTCAGGTGTAGGGAGTGATTGAGTGTGGCCGATTTGTTGGTGTCATGCTGTGTACATTCCAGCAAGCATGGTAGCATGTCTGTAGGAGTTGTGGTGCTTATCTATCAAGGAACTTAGAATCTCAGTGTGGGGGACACGCCCACTTTAACGACGCCCCACATTGGGGCCCCTCATTCATTGGAGTCTTGTCATCAGATTTTGAGCACTTTCATGTCTTGGTGACACTTTGCTGAGATGGCCTACAGAATATATATGCCACCAGCTAAATCATGTTCCAAGCAGGAGAAGCTGTCGTGTGAGGTGATTTGTTTGTCTGCCACCCCATCTCTGTCCTCCTACATCCTCGACAACAGTGACAATGGTTAGTTCTCTACAGGCTCTGTATCCACATGTCCCCGTGTCATTGTTTAGGATGGTCAGTAATCACATGACCCTGTGTCAGTGTTTGTTACAGTGGAAAAGTGAAAGCTTCTATACTACCTAGTGGATCTAGGCCCTGGGTACATGACTGTGCATATACACATATAGGAGGGCGCTCATTAAAAACAAGAATGCCAAGAGCATAATCCTTCTCAACTTTTCAACTATAAAGGGTGCATTGTGTATTCAAACAGTGGATTTACTCTAATAGGCTTAATTAACATTACCATTTTAACAATGTTAACTTATAGTTGATCGCTTTACAATGGAACTTGGCAGCTATCTTGTATAGGCGTGAAAGTTGTTACTGTAATTTTTATTTTACATATGTCAGCATATTTCCTTATGGATAAACATGTACTTTGTACACGTATATTTACAGAACGTCAAAGAAATGTTCATATGTTTTGTTAATTTAGCGAAGAAAAATGTCAAAATTATATGATTAAGTATAATTACAATTTTAGGTTTATTTTTACATGTGTTTCTATTTTAATACATTTTTAGTCTTTTATAGACAGAGTTGCTGCCCTTTGTATTGTTGTAATTGACATTTGGTTCCCTATGTATACCCAGCATTTTTATAACGGCAGGTTACAATAGCTTTGAAGGGTTGTGATTGGTTTTGTTACAATATTTTACTTATGTTTCATTTGAATGATGACAAGAACTGTGTGTTTTGTATACATACACATACCTAGTCTCCATTCAGTTGTAAAACCTTGGATTTGTTTACCCGACAGTATTGTGTAGATCCTGTATTGTGTTTGGTTTGAAAAGGACTTGTTACTTACACATATTGTAAAATTTTAGGTATGCAGATGAAGTACAAACACATTATGAAATTATCTTAATCTTGTAACGAACATACAGTTTACCCACAATGTCCATGTTGCTATTGTTCAAATTAAATAGAAAACATTTTGTGATTATATTTTTACCAGAGACAGGGAGATACATGATAAGGTTTTATAAAATTTTAAATTAAGAATTTCAGATCTTTCTTATAGTTTGTGATTTATAATTATAATGTAAGTGTCTTGATAATCGGGAAATTTGAAATTGATTAAATTTTGTATAAATATAGATTTCTTCCTTTTGTTTATATTCAAACAAACTCTCTGGTATATTTAATATTTTATAACAATCATCTTTCCAGACAAGCGTGGAATTGATGGACGTCTTGCCAGTGCCCAGACTGCTCTTATGCTGCAGGAGGAGACAATCCGACGTAATGAACGTGACCGTAAGACAATGTCAGACAAGATCCTTGCCTTGGAACGCACTGTAGCAGCCAATGAGACAGAAAAGAGGCAACAGCAGGTATGACAGGTTAATCAACAGGTTGATGAATTCTTGTATGAAACATTCAGAGATGGAGTCACCTGTGGTTAAGTCTGAGTTTACCTGCTTCTCTATGGGAAAAGATGGTTGTCCTAGGTTTTATGTCATACCTGAGATTTACCTGTGGTCTTTTTGAGGTTTACCTGCCTGTCTATAGAAACAGAAGGTTATCCTAGGTGTTATATCTTACCTGAGATTTATCAGTGGTTTAATCAAAGTTTACCTGCTTGTATATAAAAATAGATGGTTATCCTAGGTTTTATGTCATACCTGAGATTTACCTGTGGTCTTTTCCAGGTTTACCCGCTTTTCTATAGAAACAGATGGTTATCCTAGGTGTTATTTCATACCTTCCTCATCAATAATTGATGACTTAGCTGGATTTACATGTCGGCTGACTTTAATCAATAGAGTTCCACCTGTGTGTGACGGGATGTAATTCTGAGCCTCTGTAATACAGCTGTCATTAGATCGGTGTACTGGCCAGGTTGATCAGTTGTGTAGAGAAGAATCAGAACACTCTCTCATCGATTGTGTTTAACCTGACCAGAAGTCATTATAGCCAATACTTTATAGCATACTACAAGGCAAGATTTCCAATTAAATATTTCTTTGATATACCTTAACTAGAAAATTTACCTTGAGGATTTATGGTCACTGGGGAATGTTGTTGTAGTTATTTCTGTAATGACTATATGTAGTGGGCTTATCTGTAATGTACAGAAATGTCTGGCGGTCACATGTGTTAATGAGATTGAATCAATAACCTAAAATAGTTTTAATTAACAAAATAATGTAATTTAATCAGAGTTATCTCCAATATAGATATATTTACTTATTCTCACCTGGCTTCCTCTGTGACCTATCCTTTTGATCAGATTGTGGTAAATTCTATTTACCTGCAATGTTTACACTTGATGATCTCTCATTCAAGTAACCTGTGGATAAAGTTTTACTTCAGCATTCTGTTATCTCTGTTATATGATATTTGTATCAAGCATAACTTAGTGTATTTTTTTGTCTCTTGCTTTTGGAACTTATGTGCTCTTTTATCAACAAAAAAGATTAAAAACTGGAAGAAAAATGGGAGTTCAGAAGGTTGGAGACAAAAGTTGATTTCAGATTAACATTGTTGTTTTCCTGTCCCAGAATTTTCTACTAAATTCAAATTTTTATAATATGATTCTGTAGATTTCTTATTTACAGAATCAACAATTTACCTTCATCATTTGCAAAGTTTGAAATAAGAATGTTATTTATTCAGTTCATAGTTTACAGAGTTTAAGGGTTATTTAATTGTTACTTATCATTCAAATAAGGCCAACACTAAATGATTCAAGCTGACTTTTAACTTTCATTATTCATTATTAAGTTGTTTGAATTTACCTTTGACCTTTATTCCAGGAGAAACTTGCCAAGATGAAGCAGACAGAGGCCAAGCTTGAGGAAGACAAAAAAGGAGTTAGGATGGCCTTGGATGAGGCAGAGAACAGGTGCACCAAGCTGGAACTGTCCCGTCGCTCACTCGAAGGAGAACTGCAGCGTTTCAAACTTGTCATGAATGACAAGGAGACAGAAAACCAGGTACAGAACCATAGAAAGCTCAAGGAGCTATAATAACCTTTGAAACCAAATGGACCAGTCCATGTGAGAGCAAAGGTTGGTCTAATACAATAATAAAGGGATGTGAAGATGTTATTGACACTTTACCCTCAAATTCATTGTTAAGAGTACTATAAAACATATTGTAATTCTCCAGGGGAGACAACTAGAGGTAGCCTTAATCAAGATACTGATGAATAAATTATGAAGTAGATTTCATTAGAGGTAATGTTACTGTTGGAACCACATTGATGAGGGCTTAGCCATATGCTTTTCATACGTTCCAAGATAGTAGGGTCATGTCTGGGAGATAACATACACTTGCTGGACACCTTTTTGTGACTGGATTCAGGATGTATTGTTGGAAAATTGAAAATAGCTATTGTTTTGTGAATGGAGATTTTAGAAGATTCTAATTATCTGTGTTTTATTGTGACAGTGAAGTGAGTTCCTACTGCTTTGGAAATTGCAGAAAATATTTGAGAAATTGTGGCCACAAAATTCATGAATTGTAATTTGGGGATTTTTCTGTTTGAGAAATCAAAATGAGTAAAAGGCGACAAGACAGTCAAATTTCTGATAGCCAGTCTGTAGTTTCACAGAAATCTGACAAAAACTCGGTGAATGGGACAAGTTATCAAAATAATGGATCAGCCTCGTTACGTCTTGAGGGTGGTGCAAATGGGAAAAAGAATGATGTAGAAAGAAAAGGCAGTGATGGGAATATATCTTCATCTGTGTCATCTAGAAAGTCATCGTCTTCATCGTACATTGACATGTACAAGGCACACATGGAAAATCAGAACAGATCATTAGAAACACAAATTGTAGAAAAGGCTCAAATAGATTCAAATATAAGTGAGAAATCACAAGACCTGATAGAAATGGAGTCCAATCTTTCTGGAAATACTGAGAAAAAACACAAAGTGAAACAGCCAATGTTGGACATTATGTTTAAACATCTCGGAAAAGATCAGTTTCAGATGATTCTGGTTGACAGTGGTGATAAATCCTTTTCAGAAAGTAAAGTTGTTAAGGTGAGAAAACAATATAAAAGTCAAGTATTGGTTACTTATAAGAAATTGAAGATACATTAAGGAAAACAGATTCATAAGTTTACATTTTAGTGTTAAAAAGGGATTTTCACAAATCTAGCTTTGACAGTAAAAATTGCCGTTATATCTTGTTGTTTGGCAACATTCAGGGTTTGAAACACCAGTGGTTTAATCTGAGTTGACCTGCTTCACTCTGGCAACTAATGGTTATCCTTGGTGTTATTTTTACCTGTCTTGATAAGAGTTTGTTGGTTGTCCCTATTTGGTTAATACAGGTAAGTCAGTATAATAAACGTAGGTAGCTGTACTGACTAATGTTTCCATCCTCACGAACACTTTTACTTTGGCCATTATCATGTTTCTTGAATGTTTTTCTGATTTCCATTTTCCCCCCTTTTTTGTGTTCTAGGTTCTACAGGATCGTGTGGATGGCCTTGTGAAACAGGTACAGGAACTGGACTCTAAGTCACAGTCCCTACAGCTGACCATTGACCGCCTCAGTCTGGCCCTTGCCAAGGTGGAAGAGGAAGAGAACTCGCAGAAGGACAAGGTCAGTTGTCTTTCCTGAATGTAAATTGTAATCACAGTCCGTTTTCATTTATCAGTATGACTAATTAGACCAGGATTATTCCAATATGAAATAAGGCTGGCTAACTAAGTCTTTTTTGCCTGTTTTAATATTTTAAGGTGTCTATCCCTGATTAGACTCGAAGTATTTCATTTCAAATATCCATATGACTTATGTCTTCAAAACTATACTTCTAAACAGTTTAAAGTAATTTCTGTCATAATTTTATATCACATTTTGGTCTGTGTAGTAATTTATTCGAAAAAAGTGGATTTTGTTTATGGTTAGAAGGAATATAGAGACTACTTTGTATATTTAGACATGGTAGACCGGTGTTTATTGTAGAGCAAGATGATATCACTTATCCAAACCATTCAAGTAATTTGAAAATTATACTAATGAATATTTGTGTGTTTATTTGTTTAGGTTCAGGCCCTGAATATGACTCTGTCAGACACCAATGCCACCATTAGTGAACTCCAGGAACGTATTTCTCAGCTGCAACGTGCATTGACCAGCAGCGAGCACGACCGTCGTGTTCTCCAGGAGAGACTTGACACAACCAGATCAGGATTGAACGAGGCTAAGAAACAGAACCACAGCCTTATGGAGCGTTGCCAGGGCATGCAGAATGATATTTCTGACACAGAGGTCAGGAGGTCAGAAGTTGAAGGTCAACTGAGACAGTCACATGCTGTAAGTTTTGATTTTATACTTACATGTCACTTTAAACAAATTACTCTTTATGTCAGAAAGCTAGTTTTTTGTACACATGTACGTGTGAATAAAAAGTCCTGCACTGGTTGTGTCCCCAAGTGTAAATCTTGTGATCTTTATCAAATAATGAGTATAAATAGAGTTCATATTGAAAAAAATTAAGTTGATAATCTTTGTAGCTGCTGCATGTAACACAATAAGTTTTGTTGTAATATCCATGATAGATGTTGGGTCTATGATAGATGTTTGGTCTATGATAGATGTTGGGTCTATGATAGATGTTTGGTCTATGATAGATGTTAGGTCTATGATAGATGTTAGGTCTATGATAGATGTTGGGTCTATGTTGATGTTTGGTCTATGTTGATGTTTGGTCTATGATAGATGTTAGGTCTATGATAGATGTTGGGTCTATGTTGATGTTTGGTCTATGATAGATGTTAGGTCTATGATAGATGTTAGGTCTATGTTGATGTTGGGTCTATGATAGATGTTAGGTCTATGATAGATGTTGGGTCTGTGTTGATGTTGGGTCTGTGTTGATGTTGGGTCTATGATAGATGTTAGGTCTATGATAGATGTTGGGTCTATGTTGATGTTTGGTCTATGATAGATGTTAGGTCTATGATAGATGTTAGGTCTATGTTGATGTTTGGTCTATGATAGATGTTTGGTCTATGATAGATGTTAGGTCTATGTTGATGTTTGGTCTATGATAGATGTTAGGTCTATGATAGATGTTAGGTCTATGATAGATGTTAGGTCTATGATAGATGTTGGGTCTGTGATAGATGTTGGGTCTATGTTGATGTTAGGTCTATGATAGATGTTTGGTCTATGATAGATGTTAGGTCTATGATAGATGTTGGGTCTATGTTGATGTTAGGTCTATGATAGATGTTAGGTCTGTGATAGATGTTAGGTCTATGTTGATGTTTGGTCTATGATAGATGTTAGGTCTATGATAGATTTTGGGTCTGTGTTGATGTTGGGTCTATGATAGATGTTGGGTCTATGATAGATGTTGGGTCTATGTTGATGTTTGGTCTATGATAGATGATGGATCTATGATAGATGTTGGGTCTATGTTGATGTTTGGTCTATGATAGATGTTAGGTCTATGATAGATTGTCTTTAGTCTGAACTCATGGATAAAAAAATCTTAATTGCTACATTATGTAAGAGTCTTGCCTCTCCATTATAGATGCTGGTTCAGAGACAGGAGGCTGAACAGGAGCTGAACCAGACCATACAGAAGATCCAGCTTGAGAAACAGAGTCTACACGAACGTGTTCAGGCTTTGTCCAGGCAGCTCGCAGGAATGGAAAATGAGAAGCGTGAGATTGAGAGATCTCAGATAAGACTTGAGAAGGATAAGACTGCCCTTAAGAAAACTCTGGATAAGGTAGGTTTTATCTGAGGAGGGCAGTCGTAATTGAAAACAGGTTTTTTTCAGGTCAATTGGTATTTTGAAATGCTTGGATACTTTATATGTATGGAGCAGTCAGGAAATATGTTCAAGGGTACTGGAATGATGGGGATTGATCTTAGTGTTAGACATATTGACATATGATCAAGTATACATTATCTTGTTTCCATTAAATATAAGATTTAAAATGTAAGAGGAGATGATGAGATACATTTTCAAAATGAAACTGAAAATTGAATTCACTCTAAGAGAAAAAAGACAGAAAACAATGTGTACATACCGAATAAATTTACTGTACTTAAAGAGAACAACTTTGCTGAAGAAATAACAAAAAGAGTATATATCTTTTTATTGCTGAAATACCTTTATCTTATAATGTGATTCACTCACAGGAGATGGAATTGAATGTAAGTATGTGTAGCCAGGCAATAATGGTATGTAGATAGAGGCTCCACACATCACTAGCTTGGCAAAATGTGGCTGAAATAAAAAGAAACTACTTTCTCCTGCCTGTCTTTATACAAAAGAATGGATGATAAAATATACTATTCTTCACTGATTTCTGTGTCAGGTCGAGAGAGAAAAGCTGAGGTCAGATGAGATAGCCAGTAAGACAGCTTATGAGCGTTCAAATCTTGACCGCACATTGGAGAAACTGGATGAGGATAACATTGACATGCAGAAACAGTGCCAGCAGCTCCAGGCTCAGCTTGCAGAGGCTGAACAGCAGCATGCCCAGAGGTAAGGGGCACAACTCTTCACAACAGGGGAGACAACTCCCACCAATTAGGAAATGCCTCAATTTGTTATGTATTTTTCCCAGTGTTTGTTTATTGGTTTTGTCACATTAAGTAAGAATCTTTACAGTTGTCCACCTTAGAGATTCAAGTCATGTTTTGCTATGCATTAAGAAATAAATAGTTAAATGTTTGAACTTGTTGACAGGGAAGTTATGTTAGGTAGTATATACATTAGATAACAAAATACAAAAATTTTGTAAGCTTGTATTGTTATTTTTTATATATTGTTTTTTATAAGTCAGTTTTTTTCTTTCAATATTGTATGAAGATTTTTAATTGGCGTTTTGTTTTGTTAATTTAAAAATACAAAAAGGTAATATGATATTTTAGTCACAGTAGTCTAGCTATTGATGGGATAATTTTTTTTTTTAAATCTTTAACCTCATCTTTCATCGTCAATGCGGTAGTTGTTTTATTAAAAGTTTATTGCGTGTGGTGAACACCCAATTTTCCTTGTTTTACTAATCAGACTTAACGCTGTACACCAGTCACATATTCGAAGGTGTGTATAAGGAGCTGCCACCCCTTTCGTGCACAATAAGCTAGACCAGAATATTCATTGTGGTCATTCTGTTGTGGACATACGGGGTGGCCAGGCTGTAACTCTAATATCCTTACCTACCTCATCCTGTCAAACATTATTCATTTCTTAATATTTTATCTAGAAAATTTGCAGGAACAATATTTCTGAAACTATTAGGTTTGGAGGTTATCAATTATTTTTTGAAGTATACATAGAATATTGCCTTTGTGAGATTATCATTCTGTCATTAACGCCCCATTAAGGATATCTATATCTTTGTTTTAGCATCATATCAACCTCCATGTCTTATAAGTATCGGTATGTCAACCAGAAATGTTAATAGTTTTGTATTAGCTCTGTTTATATTGATAATTTTTTTCTAGTTATATATTTTTTTACAAACTCTAAGAGAAATGTGCCTTGAAATGAAAAAAAAATGAATATTGTTTGAAATCATCACTGATACCTTACCTCTGTAATATTAATTAGTATATACCTAGTATTTATCAGTTACCCGTCAATGTAACACCAGGTACATATCCTGGTTTGGTATTTGTCACAGTTAATATTTGTATTCTCCATCAAATCTCTACTACGGTATACTACCAGCTTGGTGGCTTCTAACTGTTGTATGGGATATCCTGATTCATAGTAAACTTACGACACTTTTTTATTCAAATTTTTGAATGTGAAATATCCTTTGTATCCATGGATATGAGACAAAAAAAAAAAGATAAATGGTAAAAATACGTGGCATTTTCTGTATTTTTTTTAAAAATAAGGAAATTAGTTAATATATTTATAATATATGCATGTAAGAAAGTTTAGTGTAGATGTATCAGGATTAATTTGTCCTTATAAATACATATATTAATACTTACTGACCAGAATTACAACATATCTGTAACAGTAATGAGACAATGCATGTTCTTATGTAGGTGTTCTATGTCTTAATTCATAAGGAACTAAACATCTTTCTGATAATGCTTTGATGTTTAATGATAAAATTCTTAAAACTGTATTCAAAATTAATGTGACAAAGTAAATGATATATCACACTAAATATATAACCATTTGTGTACTACTTTTAACAAGGATTTGTATAAACTTAAAATATGTACCTGGTATACATGTGTGATACGTTATTTTCTAAATTTACCAACATCTGTTTTTCATCTGTACATATAAAGTAGATGTATGGTGTTGGGATATATATAACTTACCTTATACCAGTGCATGTCATGTTATTTCCACATTTTGTAGAATCATTTAAAACTACAGTTGTTCAACCCTATATATCTAGTGCATGAAGAAACCTTAGAAATCCAATCCATGTGTGACTAGACATACTTGTTGTATAATTGTAAAAATGATTATCTATTTTCATGTGTCTTGTTGGAAACTGGTCCACTTTGGCTATAGTTTGGTATCAACAATCCCTAGTATTGAATGTTGTGACAGGATCAGTTCAAGAGTGTGATTTAATGAACTAAACTTTATATAGTCTTATACAAGTTAAGTCTAGAACAGCTCTACAAGGCCACTTGGACTCGTGTTTCTATGATCACTTAAAACATCTCATTGTTATATGATGTACGTTACACCTTTTAGAGCTGAATTGTGGTGTGATACTAATCGACTAACTTTTACGTCTTAGACTGATTGATCTGACCACTCGTCACCGTGCTGAGACTGAGATGGAAACTGAGAGATTGAGGTCAGCCCAGCAGCAGGCAGAGAGGATGCTGGAGGCTAGAGAGCGAGCCCATAGACAGAAGGTGAAAGGCCTTGAGGAGACGGTAAGTCAAACTACCAACATTCAAGTAAAGTCTTTTATAGCTACAACATCAAAGATTGATTATGAGTTTATATATACGAAAAATCATGTTATTATATATACGAAAAATCGTGTTATTATATATACAAAAAATCATGTTATTATATACTAGCATACAAAAAATCATGTACCATTTCACTTAACTGAGAAAAAATTCACGTGAAGTTGAAACTTGGACTAAATTATAGATTGTTACATGATCAACCTGAATAGTGATTAATTTTTGTGTATTATAATGATACAGAAAAATGATAAGATATAACACAATAACTTTTGAGAACTCTTCTTAATTCTCTCGAGTCATGTCTTACTCACTATAATGTTTATGATTACAGGTAGCTACCCTAAAGGACCAACTGTCCACTGAGATGCGTAAGCGCCAACAGTATATTTCTCGCAGCAGCCGTACCGGAGATGAAATCCGTGACATTAGAAATATACTTGACAGCTCCTTGACTGCAGTCACCCGTGACCCATCCCTTGACCCCCTGCTGTTGGAAACTGAGACCCGCAAGCTGGATGACTCTATGGACTTCCGCTCCACCTCACCTTATCCCGCAGGTCAACCTTCTCGTCGCCGTAGCCCAGGCCGCACCCGATACGGTGGCCAGACATCTACCCCTCTCAGACGGAGCATGAGTCCTTTATCTCTCCGCAAAAAGATTGCACAGAAACACTAACATTGTACACTACTGCCTTGAGCTGCGTGTTACAGCTGTTGGTCGTTTAGGAAGCATATAACGACCAATACAGAAAAGAACAGACATTCAGTATCATGAGTGAACTATGCAACATCATCTTTTTACAAGAACATTTGGGGAAAAAAAGTTTGGAATTACTTTTGTGAGTTAGAGTATAAGGAAAAAAAATGTTGATTTGCGTGATGAAATATTATTTATATTTTCAATTTCATTCCAATTGCTTCAGAACATTCCCATCTGTATTACCAGCATTAGATAAGTCATAAGTCTGTGAGAGACAGCATGTGGAGAAAAGGAACACCAGTTTTATACTATAAAGTTGCGATTTTACAATATATAATCATGTAGTATTTGATGATTAGCTAGTGATGAAAGAATACATGTTGTTAGAGGTATATATATATTACATATTTATTTTATGAATAATTCACACTATTTTTATTATCATAAGTGTCCATTTTTAAATGGCAATGTGGCAATTTGTTTGTTTTTTTTTTATTTTGTGTGTGGGGTTACAAGGTTGACACAGTGACCAAAGATTTTGGAAATTTTCCTAGATATCTTTTGTGTTTACTGGTGTTCATACCGAAGAAATCAAATTCTATTTACTAGTTTAGTGTTTACATGTTTAGTGTTTACCGTAAGGTATCAGTATTATTTGTACAGTGAATGGTGTGTCAGCCACGTCACCAGATAAATTACACTGCTGTGATATCTATATGAGTGTGAATGTCGTTATTGATAATTATCACATATTATTAACAGGAAATCGTGAGGTCATATGGTTTATGATTTTTTTGTTTTCTCTACAGTAAATCCAGATTATTTCTAATCCCACAAGGGTCTAGGTCCCCAGCTATAAGTGTCCATTATGGAAACCAAGGAACATGAGTATCTGTGATCTAATGTCACTGATTGGTTGGCTACATAATGCTACTTAAAACATGATGGCACAATTGATGTTATGGATTTTTTTTCTATGTTGAACTTTAACCTATTTGTTGACTTATAAAATTTAGCCATATTTTCATTAGTATGCATAGATATTATGCTTTAATGAACTAGATTTGTTACAACCTCTAATTTATTGTGATTATAATCCATACCTGCCCTTCCTCCTCTCTGTCCACATCTTAATTGAGAAAACAACAAACAATTAGGAAAACGTGGGGTAGAAGGATTTTTCTGTGATAGATGTTATTTTTTTCTTGGATAATTTTGCCCCCTACAGCACCATGCGAGTCTGGTGTAGGCAGGTTCGGAGGAAGGGCGTGGCCCTCAGGCTATTGTTAGTGTGTTGGGAGGAGTAGATGTTTCTGTGTTTACACATTAATGGTATGATGTTTATTATTATAAGCAGCTGTGATGAGTTATTCCCTCCACTTGGGATCTGTAGTCAAGTTAGTAGATATCAGCGTCCGTCCAGACAAATTTTTGTATCAGTTTTTTTTTTATCACCGAGCTTGTTTGTTTTGCTGTTTTTGCTATAATAGTTATAATTTCTACATAATGGAGAAAACTGTTTTTCTTTCTAGAATTTTTATGTGGAGTTTCTCACTGATCACACTGTGACCCACACTGTCTGTATCTTATCACAAACAAATGACATGAATAAAACGTGTGCATGCCATTAAACATCATGTGTCAGACTTGTGTTTGGTGACCTTCAGGAAACGTATGCAGCCCATTAAATCTCATGTGTCAGACTTGTGTTTGGTGACCTTCAGGATATACCTTAATACTTTTGGTGAATGAAGTAAACTGAACCCTTATCTACTGATGACAGAAGAGAAAGGAAAACAACATGTAAACTCTCAATGTTTCAGAATTGTGTTTGGTTCCTTAATCTGAAATTATAAAATTTTCATGTGTCAGACTTGTGTTTGCAGTGGATTCAGGATATACAACTTTTAAAAAATCTTTTGGTGAATGAGTAAACTCCCTTAATCAATTACTGTATTTATCAAAAGAGAAACTTAAAAAGGTCAACATCTAAACATTTAACTATGTATTAAATTTATTCATTAATTGTATCTAAATTCCTTAATCTGCCCTTAAATTATAAAATTTTCCAATGGTAAGAATGAGCACTTTCTTAGCAGTGGATTGAGTAAAATATTCAAACAACTTTTAAAAAATCTTACAAGATTGAGTTATCTCCCTTAATCAATTAAAGCAATTGTATTTATCAAAACTGAGACACTTAACTAAGGTCACTGATCTAAAGCATTTAACTATGTTTTATTAGTAAAGTTACTATTCATTAAAGCTGTTTGGTATGGAACTCGTTTCGATACATATACATGTTACAATTGTTATATATAACACTAATACCTACCGTTCTGATCTCCCAGAGTTACTGTCCTTCATTTTACTGTCAGATGGTATAGTGATAAGCTTGATAGCCTATGGGGACTGAGAATGATTTTTGGAGATGTCAGAATAATTTTCATAATTCTTAAGTCACTCTGTATTAAGCGGTGCTGAAATTACTTTCATATACAATATTAAACTGCTTTTTGTCATAGATAAACGATATTACTTGGAGATTTTGAAGATGTATTTTGGAAGAGTTAAATGGTTTTAAGACGGTATTGGAGTCATATCAGATAGAGGAAATAATAAATAAAAGAAAAATACCTCAATTTTGGCAGGGAGATCTTTCCATATGCAGACTTGGATACTTGACATATAGAAGTTGTCTCCCCTGTGACACCAAGCGTCACAATTTTTTTCCCACCTAAATCAAAATCATAATAAAAAGAAACAAGAAATGCATGCCAAAATATCTACCCCTGTGGCTTCCCGATATTTTCAAAAATTTTCTGATATATGCGCCTTCGCGCTCGTATGTTTTTCAAAAAATACCACTCACATGCCTGCAGATAACCATGGACAGATCAGACAATGTATTACATTCACAGCGGTTCGACTTTAAGCAAGATACTTAAGTTAGCATAGCATTATAAATCTATTGTCTGTACCAGCACAGTATAGCTAATGTAACTGCTTTTTTTAAAATTTTGTTGAATGAACGAAATCAACTTTTTAAAAATATCTTTAATGATAAATAGAAATGTGTTTAAATATCTCCCTGCTGAGTGTCGAGTCTCTGATATAATCGAGACCAAAGCGTTTTTTTTCTGTGGTTCTGGCTCAAACATCGCTCATGTATCGTCTTTAACCAGTCACCAAACTTAGTTATAAATACATTCCATATCCACAATCTTGAATGATGACATACAGCACGAAGCCGAAAAGTAGATCAAAGACCTAATATCATATTAAAAGATCGTTATGCTTTATTAATTTATGGCTGAAATTTTCTTTTTAAAGTTCGATCGACGAGAGTTCTGATATGATAGCTCGCGCTATGTGACCTACAACAATGTACAGACGTGTGGTTTGTATTTGTACTAAGCTCGAATGTGCGTGAGGAGAGAATCTCTGTCTATCCTATACTCTGAAATATAGCCATTGAATAAACCAGCAGTGATCTGGTAAAATGTGAGTAAACAAATTTAACACGTTTAAAGGGGAAAGCTCCAACGTATAGTGCTACCCCACTGAAATATCATGTTGAACCTACACCCAAAAACCCCAGACAATAACCTTTCCATCCCCACCTCACCCAACCCTTGATAAACACTAGTACAAGGAAATAGTACCCAATACTCACCAAGTATGGACGTGAGTTGGTAACAGGAAGTAACAGAAAGTCTGACGAAACTGAAGACCTAGCATGAAAAATGTCCAATTGTTTCATAACACTAAATTGTCGATAAGGGGGTTGGTAGGACCTCTATCATGAAATGGACATTAAAAAACACACAAAAAAACTGTCGCGACTGTGTCGATATGGCACTGGGCAGGGTCTCTAGTATAAAATGAACATTGAAAGCCACAAAACTATCGCGACTGTGTCGATATTGCGCTGGGCAGGGTCTCTAGTATAAAATGGACATTGAAAAACACACAAAAAAAACTGTCCCGACTGTGTCGATATGGCGCTGGGCAGGGTCTCTAGTATAAAATGGACATTGAAAGCCACAAAACTATCGCGACTGTGTCGATATGGCGCTGGGCAGGGTCTCTAGTATAAAATGGACATTGAAGCCACAAAACTGTCGCGACTTTGTCGATATGGCGCTGGGCAGGTCCTCTAGTATAAAATGGACATTGAAAAACACAAAATTTTCGCGACTGTGTCCATATGGCGCTGGACAGGGTCCTTGGTATAATCAAAGTACTGAAATTTTTGAAAAAGGCTTAACAAGTTGATAATGTTTGTAACTGTAAACGTGAGATATAATCCATGACATGCAAAGCAATCAAACTCTATCATAGAAGATTACTATTACCGGTATTTTGTATACATCTCCCATCAAATCAGTGAAGTTTGTTATAAATGTACCATTTACGCCAGTAATTTATAGTCAAGAGATTGCCACTGGCATTGGTATTGAGTAATGAACCCATGATAAAACCTTACAACATATCGTAAATTGGATTTTTTCGCTACCGTAAAGTTCAGCACGTAAAGGAATCAGATTGCCATTATGGATTTTCAGGATTATCCGGTACACACAAATGTATGAGCAACAAGAATAAATAATTACTGTATATATTAATACCGACTATTGGAGTCGACAATATCCAAAATCAGGTCGATGTGTCTAGAAATATGATAGGAACTAGCAAGATCGGTGAAGACAGTGACCTGTGTAGAACATTGCAGAAATATCTCGATTTTATATGACTATCTTCCGATATGTTTATAATATTTTGGAAGTCCATAAAAATTACTTAATAAATAGTCCATATTGCTTATTTAATCCTTACCTCTAGGTTGGCGTTATCACGCCCGCTTTTTTTTTTTCGAAGAACCGCAGAGGGATCTTTATCGTGCGAGTTTGGACATTCTCAGACGGACCTTCAATTTAAGTCCCATCCGACGGACGGAGTGTTAATGTTTAATTGTTAGTAAGGTGCTGGTGTTGATATCATTTTAGTGACCATCTGTAAGTCTGTTTACAGTCGGCTTTAACAATGTCCAGACTTTCTCTAGTTCCTGGCATCATGTAACTGTTCACATTCCGCCATTTAACCTCGAGTAACAAAAAACACAATCATTTGTATACGGGTATATATGTGACAGTTCCAGACCCGTACCGGTTAGGTCCCCCGTATAATAAACAACAATTAATATGTACCTTAATACATATTTTTGTTGACAAATGATTGAAAAATTAGAATAATACAGAAGTAATGAAAATAAAGTTCTGACCGTGTGAAATTTTTATCTTCAGTCATTTCTAAATTTATATCAACCATGATAGAATCGGAGATGTGCGATATAGCTGCAGAACGTGCTACAGCTTATTTATTTATTTATTTATTTATTTATTTATTTATTTCTCATGAATGCAATTTTTAGCAATAACATTCAATTTTTTGTCTTATAAATGTATTTAGACTTACCTAACATTCCCAAGGTCGGGAAAAGGACAGACCTTTAGTAATATTCAATTGATAATTACATGGAAAAATGATATTGTTCATGTTTGTAGAACATCTTAGTTCATCCGACGTTGGCAGTTATAAAGGTTCATCAGTTCGCTACCTTCGAACAAGGTTAATTATAAGAGTTATCTCCCTTTAGTAACGTTCGACTGTGTTTTCCTGCATCACAACATGAGACATTGATCATTCAAAAAAGTTTTATTCAACATTTTCAAAATTTTGAAACAAAATATATCATCAGAAGATGTATTTTATATAATTAAACAAACTTCTTGTTACTGTTTTTTGCGTTAAATACAAATTCTGCAGTTAGCACTGGAATAATGTAAATATATAAATATAGAACTTTGTAATATATTCCTCATACGTAATGGCATATACATGACGTAACAATATTACTTTGTAGGCTATTATGCTGGCGGTCTTTGGTAGGATGCTGTTATTGTTGAAATAACCTTCACTAAACATCATACAGTATAAATGTTGATATGTCTATGATTTCATCAGAAAATTCTCATTTTATTAAACATGATTCCCATAATTATACAAAGCCCCCCCCCACTATGTTAAATATTTATTACATAACATCCCTGTTATCAATGATATAACACCAATAACATAACTACCATTGTTGTCAGGGTAATAACACCCATAACTACCTTGTTGTAAGGGTGATAATACCCATTACATAACTACCTTGTTGCCAGGGTAATAACACCCATAACTACCTTGTTGTCAGGGTAATAACACCCATAACTACCTTGTTGTCAGGGTAATAACACCCATAACTACCTTGTTGTCATGGTGATAACACCCATTACATAACTACCTTGTTGTCAGGGTGATAACACCCATTACATAACTACCATTGTTGTCAGGGTAATAACACCCATAACTACCTTGTTGTAAGGGTGATAACACCCATTACATAACTACCTTGTTGTCAGGGTAATAACACCCATTACATAACTACCTTGTTGCCAGGGTAATAACACCCATAACTACCTTGTTGTCAGGGTAATAACACCCATAACTACCTTGTTGTCAGGGTAATAACACCCATAACTACCTTGTTGTCATGGTGATAACACCCATTACATAACTACCTTGTTGTCAGGGTGATAACACCCATTACATAACTACCTTGTTGTCAGGGTAATAAGACCCATAACTACCTTATTGTCAGGGTAATAACACCCATAACTACCTTGTTGTCAGGGTAATAACACCCATAACTACCTTGTTGTCATGGTGATAACACCCATTACATAACTACCTTGTTGTCAGGGTGATAACACCCATTACATAACTACCTTGTTGCCAGGGTGATAACACCCATTACGTACCTACTTTGTTGTCAGGACAATAACATCCATTACATAACATCCTTGTTGTCAGGGTAATAAGACCCATAACTACCTTGTTGTCATGGTAATAAGACCCATTAAATACCTTGTTGTCAGGATGATTACACCCATTACATAACAACCTTGTTGTCAGGGTAATAACACCCATTACATAACTACCTTGTTGTCAGGGTAATAACACCCATAACTACCTTGTTGTCAGGGTAATAACACTCATAACTACCTTGTTGTCAGGATGATAACACCCATAACTACCCTGTTGTCAAGGTAATAACACCATAACTACCTTGTTGTCAGGGTAATAACACCCATTACATAACTACCTTGTTGTCAGGGTAATAACACCCATAACTACCTTGTTGTCAGGGTAATAACACTCATAACTACCTTGTTGTCAGGATGATAACACCCATAACTACCCTGTTGTCAAGGTAATAACACCATAACTACCTTGTTGTCAGGGTAATAACACCCATAACTACCTTGTTGTCAGGGTGATAACACCCATAACTACCCTGTTGTCAAGGTAATAACACCCATAACTACCTTGTTGTCAGGGTGATAACACCCATAACTACCCTGTTGTCAAGGTAATAACACCATAACTACCTTGTTGTCAGGGTAATAACACCCATAACTACCTTGTTGTCAGGGTAATAACACCCATAACTACCTTTTTGTCAGGGTAATAACACCCATAACTACCTTGTTGTCCGGGTAATAACACCCATAACTACCTTGTTGTCAGGGTAATAACACCCATAACTACCTTGTTTTCAGGGTAATAACACCCATAACTACCTTGTTGTCAGGGTAATAACACCCATAACTACCTTGTTGTCAGGGTAATAACACCCATAACTACCTTGTTGTCAGGGTAATAACACCCATAACTACCTTGTTGTCAGGGTAATAACACCCATAACTACCTTTTTGTCAGGGTAATAACACCCATAACTACCTTGTTGTCCGGGTAATAACACCCATAACTACCTTGTTGTCAGGGTGATAACACCCATAACTACCTTGTTGTCAGGGTAATACAATACATATAAATGTGGATATGAGTACATGTATCCCCTCAGTTACTGTGAGGTATTATATCATTTTATATTGCTATGATACCGTATTGAAATTAGCCAAGACCTTGTCTCTAATCTGCAGTATATATCAAATATCTTCAACAGAAAATATTGTTACAGCTATGTGCCAAAGACAGCTAACTTTCCTGGCACAAATCGCTCTCTTTTAGTGAGAGTACATTCTTTGATCTTTGAGATTACAGTTTTGACTGCTTCTGTCTGTCCTGTTGGATCCCTTCCTTCAATGCCCGCAGCACCAGTTTTACGTTGTCAGGGGTAGCATTGTATCCCATGATTCCTATTCGCCAAATTTTCCCGGCTAAATCTCCGAGTCCGCCGGATATCTCAACCCTGTACCTGTAGGTTAACACAGAAAAAATATATACATGTATACAAGGTTTACGATCATACACTCAAATCTTTCAGACGCTTTGTCACATAATTTGTGTGAAACTTTATTGTATTTCTGTCTGCAGAAATAACGGGTTTCGTAGCCATGTAAAAAAAAAAAAAAAACTGGCTCCTCTTTTTTTTGTATGGCATGTCTATCATCGAAAATAGGAAGTTAAACACTGGATGCTGAGCTCTATCTGGACAGTGTATCATCATATATTTTTAGTTGAGAGTTTCAATCTTATTACGAGTGTAGGCGACCTTGCCATGGTGTGCTGTCATATGCAAAAAGATATTACAAGATGAGAACCATAATGTCACCTTTCAACACAAATTTAGAATAAGATACAACAAGTCTACTGATTAATTTAAACTACACCAGACAGCTGTTCAGTAGTGATGTCGATAACTTGATTATTGTAAACGTATCAATATTATATAATCTCACGTGTTCATAGCGTAATCTGCCACGTGCTTCCAATTGACATCAGAGGGAACCCAGATAGCGGTTACACAGGGAAGGCGAACTGACTGCAGAAATAGAATATAAAAATCTAGATTAATGTGACAATGATGGCGACACTGATGGTGACACTGATGGAGGTATATGGACGCTGAAGTCAAATAGATTCTTTATTTTAATACATCCCGAAGTACTTCTTCTATATTATCACTCTTAATTGAGAGTTTAATTACTTTAAATACAATGTTGCTTTATGAACATTTTTATCAATATGTTTACTACAAGGATTCATTTTCTATTCACAATGTCAATCTCACTTGTTCCCTGTCTTCCAATTCGTGCACAGAATTAAGATAGAGCTTAATCAGACACAGCATGCTCTAGACCAAGATGAACAAAACTTGTGTTACCCAACAGACATCACAAACATCTTACCTTGTATATGACACATACTTCTGGGACAGGGTGGACAAAACTTGTGTTACTCAACAGACATCACAAACATCTTACCTTGTGTGTGACACAAAGTTCTGGAACAGGGTGGACAAAACTTGTGTTACTCAACAGACATCACATACATCTTACCTTGTATATGACACATACTTCTGGGACAGGGTGGACAAAACTTGTGTTACTCAACAGACATCACAAACATCTTACCTTGTGTGTGACACAAAGTTCTGGAACAGGGTGGACAAAACTTGTGTTACTCAACAGACATCACATACATCTTACCTTGTATATGACACATACTTCTCGGACAGGGTGGACAAAACTTGTGTTACTCAACAGACATCACATACATCTTACCTTGTGTGTGACACATACTTCTCGGACAGGGTGGACAAAACTTGTGTTACTCAACAGACATCACATACATCTTACCTTGTATATGACACATACTTCTCGGACAGGGTGGACAAAACTTGTGTTACTCAACAGACATCACATACATCTTACCTTGTGTGTGACACACAGTTCAAGACCAGGGTGAACCAAACTAACATTTTACCTTGTCTGTGACGAGTAGTTCTAGACCAAGACTAGCCAAGCCATCGTGTAACATCTCCGCACATCGTTTGTGGTTGTTCCAGCTTTCTTCTAACCCCTGAGACAAAATATGTAGCGACATACAACATGAAGAAGCGGCGGCCAAAAGAAAGATTATTACAAAACCGAAGTATACATCATGTTTGAGCTGTAGAACCTAACATCTTATCTATATATGTATCAATTCAGTATATACCAGCTGACGATATTATAGATATCATCTCTCCCTGCCCAGACTGTCCATTTATTTGTCGACTGTTTATATATGAGATAACAAATAAATACATGTTAAATACATTCGTAAATCAAACTGAAAAAATCGACAAAAGTTGGCAAAATAAGGACATGAAAAATGACAAATACAATCAAGTCTTCGAGTCATTTGTGTGCGAGGATTTTCTCAGATTGATGTCTTGTCCGAAGAGAAACCCTAACTAGTCTAGACTCTAATCAGCATTGTTGTTACTACGAAATTGATACCCTTTGCTTCTCCTACGTCTCTCAATGATCTAATTCTAATATCAAATGTTGTTTACGACGAGTTTTTTTCTTTTCCCTGTGATACAGAAAGTCGGATGTCTCCGTGCAAACAATGCGATTTCTATGGTAACGTCATGCAAATTCACGTGAACTGATGCACGTGTCCTCATTCGACAGAAGGGCAAACATCGGTCGCCATTGCTGTTTTAATGTGCATGATTTGATTTCATTAAATTTTAATATAGTTTTTATATCAATAGAAAACACGACACCGGGGCTCTTCAGATGAATGCATAGCACACAAATCACACGAATTTTCCACTTATAAATTGCTAGCGACTTTTTTTCTAGGAAGGCAATCAAAAATATCTTTATTCCGCTTGTTTTTGGGATAATTCTAGGTGAAGGAAGAATTAAAGAAATCAGCGACCAATACATATTAGTTGTAAGCTAACACAACAACAAATACGTATGAAACTTGTTCGTGTTTTGCGCCCACACACCAACGAAGGGTAGTATAATCAGTGACCAAGAGGACAGAAGATTATCAAATCTTACCTCCTCAGCCAATCGGGATAGACCCTCCCTCAGGGCGTACACACTTGCGATAGGGCCTGTGTGGTGATACCTGGTCGAATAAGTCAACGTTAGAGGTAAACATATGTAATGTAAATAGGAAGGATATATAATGTAATAGGTAAAGATATTTAATGTAATAGACAAGGATATTTAATGTAATAGATAAGGATATTTAATGTAATAGACAAGGATATTTAATGTAATAGATAAGGATATATAATGTAATAGGAAAAGATATTTAATGTAATAGATAAGGATATTTAATGTAATAGATAAGGATATTTCATGTAATAGACAAGGATTTAATGTAATAGATAAGGATATTTAATGTAATAGATAAGGATATTTAATGTAATAGATAAGGCTATTTAATATAATAGTTAAGGCTATGTAATGTAATAGTTAAGGCTATGTAATGTAATAGTTAAGGCTATGTAATGTAATAGTTAAGGATATTTAATATAATAGTTAAGGCTATGTAATGTAATAGATAAGGATATTTAATATAATAGTTAAGGCTATGTAATGTAATAGATAAGGCTATTTAATATAATAGTTAAGGCTATGTAATGTAATAGTTAAGGCTATGTAATGTAATAGTTAAGGATATTTAATATAATAGTTAAGGCTATGTAATGTAATAGTTAAGGCTATGAATATAATAGTTAAGGCTATGTAATATAATAGTTAAGGCTATGTAATGTAATATTTAAGGATATCCTCTTCACTTGACTCAAACTGATATTTTGATGTTATCCATCTTTTATTTAGAATTTTGAGTTATTATCGCCCTATTTGATTTCTCCTCATATGGTTATATATGTATAGAGTATATATACAGAGAAAAATATAAAGGTAAATTACAAACTATGAAAATGTAATATTCGACCTGTTTAATAGTGTTTCCTATAGTAAAACCAACCAACCAATCAATCAAACACACTATAAACCTAGTTTACAAAGATTGTCACATGACTTATATCGACATATAGAAATTACTCTTGTTCGTCCAAATGGAACCATGCGTGATTTATTCTGTGTGAGGAATTTTCCAGTGAATAACCTCATGTCTTTTCTTTCATCTACTCTGCCGAATAACCATCTGATGATGTACTTCACAAGAACTAAATCCTTTCGGAAAACTGAAACTGTATATACCTTCGGGGTCCCTCGTCACACCCCCAGTAGTTAGCAAGATGGTTCATATCGAAGTAAAATGATCTCACAGGAACGGTTCGACTTAACACTTTAGCTCTGGGAAAGAAACAAATAAAACATATTAAGATTAAAAACAACATTTCACCTACCTTGCTATCATAGAATTTCATTGGTAATGAACATAATGAGATATCAACGTGGAAAAATTGACGACGAATGAAGTGAGCAGGATGGGGAAGTGATGGTGAAAGGGGTAGATTTACATTTCCGGAGAAAAAGATTTCGTCGCAAGAACATCTCCTGCAAACAAGGATATCTCCTGTAAACAATGATATATCATGTAAACAAGGATATCTCATGTAAACAAGGACATCTCCTGTAAACAAGGATATCTCCTGTAAACAAGGACATCTCCTGTAAACAAGGATATCTCATGTAAACATCTCCTGTAAACAAGGACATCTCCTGTAAACAAGGACATCTCATGTAAACAAGGACATCTCCTGTAAACAAGGATATCTCCTGTAAACAAGGACATCTCCTGTAAACAAGGACATCTCCTTTAAACAAGGACATCCCCTGTAAACAAGGACATCTCATGTAAACAAGGATATCTCCTGTATGCAAGGACATCTCCTGTAAACAAGGACATCTCATGTAAACATCTCCTGTAAACAAGGATATCTCCTGTAAACAATGATATCTCATGTAAACAAGGATATCTCATGTAAACAAGGACATCTCCTGTAAACAAGGACATCTCCTGTAAACAATGATATCTCATGTAAACAAGGACATCCCCTGTAAACAAGGACATCCCCTGTAAACAAGGACATCTCATGTTAACAAGGATATCTCCTGTTAACAAGGACATATCCTGTAAACAAGGACATCCCCTGTAAACAAGGACATCTCCTTCAAACAAGGACATCCCCTGTAAACAAGGACATCTCCTGTAAACAAGGACATCTCCTGTAAACAAGGATATCTCATGTAAACATCTCCTGTAAACAAGGACATCTCCTGTAAACAAGGACATCTCCTGTAAACAAGGACATCTCCTGTAAACAAGGACATTTCTTGTAAGCAAGGACATCTCCTGTAAACAAGGACATCTCCTGTAAACAAGGACATTTCTTGTAAGCAAGGACATCTCCTGTAAACAAGGACATCTCCTGTAAACAAGGATATCTCATGTAAACATCTCCTGTAAACAAGGACATCTCCTGTAAACAAGGACATCTCCTGTAAACAAGGATATCTCATGTAAACAAGGACATCTCCTGTAAACAAGGACATTTCTTGTAAGCAAGGACATCTCCTGTAAACAAGGACATCTCCTGTAAACAAGGACATTTCTTGTAAGCAAGGACATCTCCTGTAAACAAGGACATCTCCTGTAAACAAGGACATCTCCTGTAAACAAGGACATTTCTTGTAAGCAAGGACATCTCCTGTAAACAAGGACATCTCCTGTAAACAAGGACATTTCTTGTAAGCAAGGACATCTCCTGTAAACAAGGACATCTCATGTAAACAAGGACATCTCCTGTAAACGAGGACATCTCCTGTAAACAAGGACATCTCCTGTAAACAAGGACATTTCTTGTAAGCAAGGACATCTCCTGTAAACAAGCACATCTCCTGTAAACAAGGACATCTCCTGTAAACAAAGACATTTCTTGTAAGCAAGGACATCTCCTGTAAACAAGGACATCTCCTGTAAACAAGGACATATCATGTAAACAAGGATATCTCCTGTAAACAAGGACATTTCTTGTAAGCAAGGACATCTCCTGTAAACAAGGACATCCCCTGTAAACAAGGACATCCCCTGTAAACAAGGACATTTCTTGTAAGCAAGGATATCTCCTGTAAACAAGGACATCTCCTGTAAACAAGGACATTTCTTGTAAGCAAGGACATCTCCTGTAAACAAGGACATCTCCTGTAAACAAGGACATTTCTTGTAAGCAAGGACATCTCCTGTAAACAAGGACATCTCCTGTTAACAAGGACATCTCCTGTAAACAAGGACAACTCCTGTAAACAAGGACATTTCTTGTAAGCAAGGATATCTCATGTAAACATCTCTTGTAAACAAGGACATCTCCTGTAAACAAGGACATCTCCTGTAAACAAGGACATTTCTTGTAAGCAAGGATATCTCATGTAAACATCTCCTGTAAACAAGGACATCTCCTGTAAACAAGGACATTTCTTGTAAGCAAGGATATCGCCGGTACACAATAGAAATATATTAATGAACCCAAGTCAAATCTTTGACGATTTGTATGTTGTGGAGATTTAGAAAACTGAAATGTTTCTTGTAGATTGAGAAAGCTGAAATGTTTCTTGCAGATTTAGAAAGATGAAATGTTTTTAGTAGATTGATAAAGCTGAAATGTTTCTTGTAGATCGAGAAAGCTGAAATGTTTCTTGTAGATTTAGAAAGCTGAAATGTTTCTTGTAGATCGAGAAAGCTGAAATGTTTCTTGTAGATCGAGAAAGCTGAAATGTTTCTTGCAGATTAAGAAAGCTGAAATATTTCTTGTAGATTTAGAAAGCTGGAATGTAGATTTAGAAAGCTGGAATGTTTCTTGTAGATTTAGAAAGCTGAAATGTTTCTTGTAGATTTAGAAAGCTGAAATGTTTCTTGTAGATCGAGAAAGCTGAAATGTTTCTTGCAGATTAAGAAAGCTGAGATATTTCTTGTAGGTTTAGAAAGCTGAAATGTTTCTTGTAGATTTAGAAAGCTGAAATGTTTCTTGTAGATTTAGAAAGCTGGAATATTTCTTGTAGATTTAGAAAGCTGGAATATTTCTTGTAGATTTAGAAAGCTGGAATGTTTCTTGTAGATTTAGAAAGCTGAAATGTTTCTTGTAGATTTAGAAAGCTGAAATGTTTCTTGTAGATTTAGAAAGCTGGAATGTTTCTTGTAGATTTAGAAAGCTGAAATGTTTCTTGTAGATTTAGAAAGCTGAAATGTTTCTTGCAGATTTAGAAAGCTGATGTGTATTTTCTAGATGTAGAAAGCAGATTTGTTTATGAGGTTGAAATGTTTTCTGTGGATTTAGAAAGCTGATATGACTTTTTTTTTATTTTAAAAGCTGATATGTGTCTTGGAGATTTAGAAAACTTATATATTTCTTTTAAAATTAAAAAGCTGATATATGTTTTGCAGGTTTAGAAAGCTGATATGTTTCTTGTGGATTTAGAAGGATGCTATTTGTTTTGTAGATTAGATTTACAAAGTTGATATGTGTTGTGTAGATTTAGGAAGCTAAAATATGTTTTGTGGATTTTGAAAGCCTGTGTGCGTTTTGCAAATTTCGACAGACAGGTAAATTGTGAATAGAGGAATGAACGCAGACAGAAGAAAATATAAGGGAGATAACCATGGGTCGTACCTGGCCTTTTCCGAGAAGGAGATCGGACTGGCTCCTGGGGGAGCACTCAACACTTTCTGTGATCCCGTGTACAACACGTCAATTTCTAAATAAGAAGTGACATGGCGGTATTAGCTTGCTTTCCGAGCACGTCTGATATGCAGCACCCTTTTCATGGCAGCCATGGTAACACAATCAGTGCTTCCTTTGGTAACCATAATGCTATTTATTTAAATGTATCTCTTCATTATCACAGAGACACTTTCACCAGAAAAAAAAACATATCCGTTATCAAGAGAGTGGTGTTGTGACAGGAATAACATGTATAACAGAAATTTGCACTGTCTCATCACTTTTACGATTGGAAAGTAAAATAACGTTTACGACACATGTCAAAACGGTCTTGTCCCAGTAGCACGGACGTTTTCTGAATTCGGGAAATTATTTGATAAACTTGTCGATATGAAAGTGTTATTTGAGTTCAGGAGAAATGCTGACATTTTCGTTAAATTTTTCAATATCATCCTATGGGAAATCTAAGTACACGAAGGCCCTTGCCAGACATTAATGAACTTTGACCTCGTCAGTCTTATTTTTACAGTTATTAATGTATCAACGCAGGTTAATCATATCATATCAGTTTTACAAAAATACCGAATACTCAAGGAAGATTGTTATAAGTATGGAATGATATATAATTGACCAGTGACGTAAGTCTTTGGGTTTTACTACCTACCCCAATCGTCCATGTACATGGGGACGCCACCTAGCGCCGCCACGGAGTCCACGAGAAGCAAGCAGTTGTATCTGAAAAATAAACAAAAAGACTGAATTAAAACCGAACATTGAAGAACCACATTACATCTGAACAATAAACAAGACAAGCAGAACTTAAAGACGAATGTCATTGCTCATTATTTCATTAGGGCTAGCCCTTCCAGCCCCCTGGCCAGAACAACATCATTTATGCAAAATATTGCCAAAGTGATATTTTAGACAATGTTGTGTAGGACTAGGAAGTAAAGCAAGCTTTCTCTCCTAACCTTGTTATTGGAATCATACTTCATTTCGGAATGTTTCACGCAAATGTGTTTGAAATCCAGCCAGTCATTTAGAAGGAGTAGCAAATTAAGTACAGTATTAGAATTTCCTCTTAAGGGGATTCAACCTAGAGTGTTGGAGGAGTGTCTTGTATACGGACGGCGCAAGCGAATCACGCAGAACGACGGACAAGGCACGATTGTGATAGGTCAGTCAGACCCTCTGGTTATCAATGTATTCATTATCGAAGATCAGTGTTCTCGAAACTGTATGAAATATGAACAGTTTCGCCAGCAAACAATGTATCTGAGTATTATCATTACGAATGTCAGACAGAAAATGAATGACAATTATGTGCTTTTATAGAAGTTAATTAATCTTAGTGGTAAGTCGACCTTTCTCATTGCTTAAATATGCACCTGATCAAAATGGAAAAAGACCACAGACACACCTAGTTCGCCAAGTACGATTTCTAAATTTGACCTTTGTATGATGCAGATGTTGTCGAGGTAAACAGTATATTTCAAGTGAAAGACTCATCTGTGGCGTCCACCTGACCTGACAATAGCACCTCATTAATGTACACATATCGTCGCATGATAGATCCGGAATTCAAATTGAGTTATTTTCGAATGACATTTTCTTTTCCGGAAATAGCCCCAGGTCTTTACCGATGTGGCTGTCTAGATTTCCGTATTATATTTCCTTTTTATTATATAAGACTTAAACTTAATATCGGATGATGAAAATGTCACGTCCAATACCGTCAAGTGTAAATTCTACAGATCGATAATAAAAAAGGAAGAAAAATCATGAGGACAACACCAGCCAACGCCATTGCTATAGATATTTTGACATGGCTGATATTTTGTTTTGAAAATAAAATGATAAAAAAAAAATAAATCCATGAGATTTTCCTAACAATCTTGTCTTAAAATTGGATGTTATAATTCAGAAATGCTAATCTCTACTCAAAAAGTTATCGTGAAATAATATACTTTAGTTTCAATTTCGTCAACTTTCCTTTCATTTGTCAGAACTTGCCGTGATTGGTATTGACGCCGTAAATGTATCGCTGAAAGACGTAGAATACATTTTGTCCATTTTTCGAGAGAAAATTACATAGTAGCTACATACATTTGGTTTAAATATTATCACAGCAACGCTATTGAAGTCAGTCAATACTAAACGAGCTGTCATACATACGCCGAATTGGTTTTAAAAGACATCTTCAATTGAGGTGCCCCCTCCAAGCTGTTTGATAAGTGTGATAATTTCACGTTACTGGAAAGTTGTTTTTTCTTGGTAGTTACATGTCCGCGTCCACAACTATGGTAGGCGCAGGAGTCGATAATCAAGAGTTTGATCCTATCATCAGATTTTCGTGCAGATAAACTCAGTGATACAATGGGAAACACTCTACGTCCTTGTACGATATGAAGTTTTGACGTGATTGATGCTTGTTGTCTAATGATGTTGTTATTGACTTGTAATCCTTTTGGAATCTGACAGTATCAATGGACCAAGATTGAAATGGAGAGTGTCTTCGTTCAAGCAGAAGACGCTTTACCTTACGGACACCTGGTCTGATTCTTCCTGTGCTTTTTCACTGATCTGCGTGTAAATACTTTTGGCATGTTGGCATTTTTTTTATGTTCATGAATCTGCACTCTAAAAGGGTTCAAATACTGCCACAATCTGACGCGGAAACAAGCCTCGTGTTGAAATGTCGCAGTTGGTGCAGTCGAGTAAGGACCAGTAAGTGACTTCAGTATAACATTTGATAAAATAGGATTTGATGATAATGAAGACAAATTTTCAATAGTCTGTTGTAACAAAAACTTATCATATCACGAAATTATCGTCAAATGACAGCCCATGTATAATTATAACAGGAATAATGAAGTTGGTATTGCCACCATCAGCGTCACTACCCTGTTACCATGACAATCGAGTGAAGAGGTATTGTAACAAACGCCCATACCCAGTACAAATAATTTCCGATAACAGTGCTACATTAGCATTCTGAAGTACATACTCCACTGGAACAAAGCTCTTTAATTTAGATAAAATGTCATTCAAGGTACATTTGTGAGAATGATTATACGTCCTCTAGTTAAGAGCTGTTTTCATTACATGTATTTCTACTTATGCAAATAGCAACGATAGAATAAAAAAAATGTATTCTTGGAGAGTTTCTTCCGGATATTTATAAAAACTGTTTGATAGAGTGGATGGTGTATGAGAACTGCTTTATACTAAGCTGATGAGTCGATTGGTCTAAACTGCACTCGCCTTGCTGAATAAATGACAGTCCAAGTTGTAGAAATAGACCACATTTCTTAGCAATATGTATTTTTTTCTGACTATACCAACATCTATACCTATCTGAAGAAATGCTCTATATAAGAATGAGACTTACTTGTGACAAAGTTTTCCTACGCCCTCTAGCGGCTGTAACGTGGAACCTGATGATTCACCATGGGTAATGAACAGCAACGCCGGTTTATATTTTTGCAAGCCCTTTTAAAAAAAATTCAGAATTTGAATTTGAGTTTTGGATATCTCTAAGGGAATGTACTCTGAAACGTTTATCTATTAGATGTTTCGAAAACACATTTAGAATGCTTAAGTAAGTATAGAAAACATCGCATGTATTCTGCGTTATTTATAGAAAATTGTACAAATGATACACAGGTGGATATCAACTTCCATTAGAAAGATAATTAGCTAGAGTAAGACAAATAATGAATTCTCAGGGACAGAGAAGCTTTATAGAGATAATGATACATGTTGGCATTACATATTCTGTCTCGTGATTCTTGTGAAGTGTCACCATTAGCTGACGTAAGTTATGGTAGTGTGAGATTTATTGTGGTGTAGAGTAACTGTCCTCACCTGCTCAATGTCTGCCAGACTGAATACTTGCCCCATGGGCTTGTGCATTTTCTTAACAACAGCACCTACAAATACGATGTAGAGACATCACAATGCTCGTTACATTAATTGGCCATGATGTTTGGCTATCTTTAACAATGCGATAACTTTAAAATAATTGTCACTCGGTATGATTGTATCAAGGTTACCCAAAGAATACGAGAACGGTGAATTTACAGTAATATAAGTATGACAGGTCACAATCATGGCCGCCTACAGGGTATTTTCGACTTCGGAATTATTTTAAATCTGCTTTTAGTCCAAATGTGCATGTCTTAAGGTCTTCACCTGCCTGGCTAAAATAAAGGATGATTGTTTGCAGATGTTGTGCCGTCTAGTGACTGATGAACTAAGTTTTAAGCATGAGAGCTAGGTATGCATTGCTTAGTTCTGACATCATGTGTAGTATGATCAATAAGAATGAGGTCTTCACTCACCACTTCTTTCTGCCATGTCAGCAAAGCGATCACCCCACAGGCCGTTGACACTTACTAGAGTGGTCTCCCCTGGCTGTAGTAAGTTACAACACGCTGCTTCCATGGCTGCATGACCTTCAATGGTACATAGACAGGATATAGACAATTCATTACTACTGGTAACCCTAACGGGATATAGACAATTCATTACTACTGGTAATCCTAACGGGATATAGACAATTCATTACTACTGGTAACCCTAACGGGATATAGACAATTCATTATTACTGGTAACCCTAACGGGATATAGACAATTCATTACTACTGGTAACCCTAACAGGATATAGACAATTCATTACTACTGGTAACCCTAACAGGATACAGAATATTCATTACTACTGGTAACCCTAACAGGATACAGAATATTCATTACTACTGGTAACCCTAACAGGATATAGACAATTCATTACTACTGGTAACCCTAACAGGACATAGACAATTCATTACTACTAGTAACCCTAACGGAATATAGACAATTCATTACTACTGGTAACCCTAACAGGACATAGATAATTCATTACTACTGGTAACCTTAACAGGATATAGACAATTCATTACTACTGGTAACCCTAACGGGATATAGACAATTCATTACTACTGGTAACCCTAACGGGATATAGACAATTAATTACTACTGGTAACCCTAACGGGATATAGACAATTCATTACTACTGGTAACCCTAACGGGATATAGACAATTCATTACTACTGGTAACCCTAACGGGATATAGACAATTCATTACTACTGGTAACCCTAACGGGATATAGACAATTCATTACTACTGGTAACCCTAACGGGATATAGACAATTCATTACTACTGGTAACCCTAACGGGATATAGACAATTCATTACTACTGGTAACCCTAACAGGATATAGACAATTCATTACTACTAGTAACCCTAACGGGATATAGACAATTCATTACTACTGGTAACCCTAACGGAATACAAACAATTCATTACTACTGGTAACCCTAACGGGATATAGAGCATTCATTACTACTGGTAACCCTAACGGGATATAGACAATTCATTACTACTTATCACTCTAACGGGACATAATAATGCTTATCGGTAACTTAATGTTACTAAACACTGTACCTGCATGTAACCTAACATCTCATTTCTTATCACAACAGCAATCCTTTGAGGTGACAGGAAGTTACCGAACGACACATTCAACACATTTGATATTATAATTAGATCATCAAAACATGGTGGTAGCTATAACCAGTGGTAACTTACCTGTCCCAGATACACACACTGTCCACTTATTGTTGGTCTGAAAGGCATACATGATACCGTTTTTAACCTCGTCCATTATCTGAAAAGATAACATGTTGATACTTAAGATCCATAAAGTGAGTGTAACATACACTGACACCAATAAGACCAGGTGTTCCAGCAGGATAAGCGTCTGCTGGTTCATTGACAACACATACAGGGTAAATTTAGGTCACTCCAAATAATGACATATCGAGAATGGAAAACACAATGCACACTTACAAGCATCACACACATCTAACATTATTATATACCACAAGGAAAAACACATTTTTTCATTGAGAGCCAAACAAAAGCTACATTATTCAAATACATTTTCATACAAATACGTAATGATAGAATGCCATTACTATGGAAATACATTCCACACATGATACACGTATAAATACATTTATACATCCTATATTGAACAATAGTTTCACGGTTTGTTACCTGTATCCGTTACTCGATGGTGTAGGTATGCCATTATCTTTCCTTTATTTTTTAGTTTGATATATTTTTGATTTTTTAATCATGATACACATTTCAAACACGAAAGCGGCGAGTTTTTTTTTTAAAAAAGATTTAAAGTAACCAGTTCAGTGTTCATTCAATTTACAATTTATAAAATATACATGCAGCTCAGCCCTAATATTTGATCATTCAAGCCATTATCTTTAAATTTCAATATTTCAATTTACGTTTAAATACTTATATTTCAGAACGCAAGACGTACATTCATTCATAATCATTATTTTTGCATTCAAATATCCTGCTCAGTCCATTAATATTTGTTTCAATCATATAATAACATCACAATCGTTTCGACGCTTGAAATTTCTGCCTGGTGCATTGATTTCCATTTACCTAACATTTCAATCCTTATATTAAACATGAAAATATTCTGCTTAGTCCTTTGATTTTAATTTGAATTCTTAACGAAACATTTCTATATTATTTTTAATTTCAATGCCTTATTCACATGTTGATTGTGAAACGTACAGCCTTCAACCTGGTATTCAACCATTCTGTTTACATTCGGAAATATCCCGTCATGACGTATTTGTCCTCAAAACAGGGATTTGTTTCGTCGTCGTTTTCTCCATACCAATATCCTTTCCTGATAGCATAATCTAAATTTTATACATTTATCCATCAAGTAATTAGGAAGTGGCTTTCTCTGTTGAACTGTTAATACACTGTCTTGACTGTCTCGATAAAACAGAAGACGCTTACTCTTCCGGAACATCTGGTCTTATTTTTATTGTACTGAAGTTGGATTATAATTCTGTTGACATATTTTTTTTACTTTCATTATTGTTCATCTAATGCAACAAAGGCAGTGGAGACATATCTTTTTAAAAAAAAAAGCATTCCATGACCAGCAATTATTTCGAAGTGATATGTTGTTTGTTTAGATATTTTAACAAATATCTTTTCTAGCCATTTGAGTTTGTAGGTTGATCTATCTCCTCAGCAACAGATACATTAAAAACACAAAGCGTATGGGCCACGATATTTTGCTGTCTGGGGTCACTGAGCTGTAGGCAGCTCTGTACAAAATTGTAAACAGACAGCTGAGTGTGATGGTTTGGTGATATCTAAAACTGTTTTAAAATTATGATAAATTTATTTGCATATCTCTACTGTAATTCTAAAGAATTAATTCCCAAGGAAAAATTAATCCTTATTCTCAGATGAAAACAGATCATATGTCTTATTGCTGTTCTGGGTAGCCTGCATCTTATACCTATTGTGTTAAGTAGGTAATGTATATCACACGTCAATCCCTGCAAACCACCTATTTTCATAATGACGTCAAACATTGTAAAGATTTAACCTAATACGACACGGTAGATATGGAAACTGAGCTTAAAAAGCACTGCATGGGTAGATTCTCTACAACTTACGGCAACTTTGCTAAGTATCAAATTATATAAACTTCAAGTTTGGTGCATAAATTTGTGTCAACTTTATCTACATGTAAGTAAATAAATCTGTTGACATAGTTATCGTTGAAAATGTTTTCACGAACAGCCGGGCCACGGTAACAGTTGAGTGGAGATGTATGCGTGGATCGAGGGATATGGGTGGCTACCCTCATCCACGGTGTGCATCATTCCCACCGATATTATATTCAAGTATTAAAGCATTGCATTCATAATCTCAAAGTTCGGGAAATGTATAATTAAATAAATGTTGCAATAAAATCTGTAAATTGAAACAATAATAAATAAAAGGCGTATCCAGAAGTATTTGTTGGAAGGAGACTGTTTTCGTGACACTGTCAACAACAGGAGTCCATTGTCGAAATGCCTGGTAAGCTTAATGCTTTATTGCCAGCCATACAGAGGAATTATTAACATGTTTACAAGATTATCTTGACAGGTAAGAAAAAATGAGCAATCATTGAGTACATGATTATATTTCATTAGTGTTTGAGTGCAGAGGTTTATATACCATTTTGATTTAATAATCAAAGCGGGAATAACAATGCTTTACGGATTCAAACTTTCGTGTTTATGAATAAATCCGAGTAGATACACAAACGTATTATCACATAATACTTGTACATCACGAATATACTGCAGTATGTCGAATTTGGTTTCAATCTCGTCATTCGAATGTTTACTAACCGATTAATAAAGAAAATTACATTTACTGGATTATTGAATCGCCTCGGTCGTAAAAATTACATTCCATAATTATATCAATTAATTGATATGCTTACAATAGCTTAAACTGCTTAATATGCGTCTTGACCAAATTTCCATTAATATATGTCAATATTTGATGTTAACTGACCGACATGTAAAGCCCCCAATCTTAGGGGTATCGTTTCTCTCACCTTGGTAAACTCCGGGTGGAGGTGGCCCAGGACGGGTAGGGCGCTGGCGTTGAGAATCCTTGGAGGACAGTTTGAGGGACCAGGTCCCATCAGCAACTTCCGAGGAAAATTCATTGGATGGAGAAGGCTTTCTGGAGGGGCTGACAGGGAACTCATCTTGGCCCCTAGTATCCAAGTAATTGCTGGTAATTGAGGGTTGTTTGGGGTCAGCAGTCCATGTCGGAATACGGTAGTGTGACGTGTTGACAATTTCCGCATCACGGAGTATGTGCGAGGCATACTAATAAATCTCAGTGACTCCATTTTTGATTTCTCTCCGGACAACTATATTTAAGTTCCTAACTTACTGTCTCCTGGAGATAGTGGGCATAATATGGGTCACTCATTGGCAGATAGTGTCCGTGTATTATTTTAAACGAGATATACAGGTGTATGGTGACCCGTGATAAGGGATAAAATTGATAACAGCAGATATCAAATTTCGTTGACAGGTAAGAAGATACAGAGGGTCTCTAGCTACAGTAAGTTTTCTCATCTCAAATCTAGATTAGGAGTGTAGGCTGTTTTTTTACCGAGGCTGTTACATTGTACAATATTGTTACAACAAACAACCTTGGGTTATAAACCATGGAGAATATATGTTGATTTTCCAGTGGTGGTGAACGAGCGTTACTGTCTTTTCGAAAATTATTTCTTTGCTATTTCCAATATGGAATAAAATTATGAAATTCTATGCTTTGAAAATAAAAATTAACAGGGAAATCCAAAAATCGAAATATCAGAAACAATGACCATTTCTTGACCCCAATGACTGTGTTGATGGGGCGAGTATGTCTACAAATTCTTGACCCAATGACTGTTAATGGAGCGAGCATGTCTACCATCTCTTGACCCCAATGACTGTGTTGATGGGGCGAATTTGTCTACCAATTCCTGATCTTAATGACTTTCTCTGTGTCTCAGTGTTGATGGGCCTGTGTTATCTACCATTTCTTGGTCCGAATGTCTTTCTCTGTGTTGATGGGCCTGTGTTATCTACCATTTCTTGGTCCGAATGTCTTTCTCTGTGCTAATGGGCCTGTGTTATCCACAATTTCTTGGTTCGAATGTCTTTCTCTGTGTTGATGGGCCTGTGTTATCTACCATTTCTTGGTCCGAATGTCTTTCTCTGTGTCTTTGTGTTAATGGGCCTGTGTTATCTACCATTACTTGGTCCGAATGTCTTTCTCTGTGTTGATGGGCCTGTGTTATCTACCATTTCTTGGTCCGAATGTCTTTCTCTGTGTTGATGGGCCTGTGTTATCTACCATTACTTGGTCCGAATGTCTTTCTCTGTGTCTGTGTGTTGATGGGCCTGTGTTATCTACCATTTCTTGGTCCGAATGTCTTTCTCTGTGCTGATGGGCCTGTGTTATCTACCATTACTTGGTCCGAATGTCTTTCTCTGTGTTGATGGGCCTGTGTTATCTACCATTTCTTGGTCCGAATGTCTTTCTCTGTGTTGATGGGCCTGTGTTATCTACCATTACTTGGTCCGAATGTCTTTCTCTGTGTCTGTGTGTTGATGGGCCTGTGTTATCTACCATTACTTGGTCCGTATGTCTTTCTCTGTGTTGATGGGCCTGTGTTAATGTCTTTCTCTGTGTTGATGGGCCTGTGTTATCTACCATTACTTGGTCCGAATGTCTTTGTGTTGATGGGCTCTGTGTCTTTGTGTTGATGGGCCTGTGTTATCTACCATTACTTGGTCCGAATGTCTTTCTCTGTGTTGATGGGCCTGTGTTATCTACCATTACTTGGTCCGAATGTCTTTCTCTGTGTTGATGGGCCTGTGTTATCTACCATTTCTTGGTCCGAATGTCTTTCTCTGTGTCTGTGTGTTGATGGGCCTGTGTTATCTACCATTACTTGGTACTAATGTCTTTCTCTGTGTTGATTGGCCGGTTTTGTCTACCATTACTTGGTCCGAATGTCTTTCTCTGTGTTGATGGGCCTGTGCTATCTACCATTACTTGGTCCGAATGTCTTTCTCTGTGTTGATTGGCCGGTTTTGTCTACCATTTCTTGGTCCGAATGTCTTTCTTTGTGTTAATGGGCCTGTGTTATCTACCATTTCTTGGTCCGAATGTCTTTCTCTGTGTTAATGGGCTTGTGTTATCTACCAATACTTGGTCCGAATGTCTTTCTCTGTGTCTTTGTGTTAATGGGCCTGTGTTATCTACCATTACTTGGTCCGAATGTCTTTCTCTGTGTTGATTGGCCGGTTTTGTCTACCATTTCATTGTCTTAATTGCATATAAGAAGAATATGATGTAATAGAAATACCCGACGCCATATACTAATATCCGGATAACCATGTAAAGAAATCTTTCCTATATTTACTTTCTGTTTTTATAAATAAATACCACCAATACACGACACAAAGTTGTTGATTTAGTGCAAGCTGTGTGTTTGATAGTTAAACGGATTTATGTGAACATTTCTGGGGAAAAATACAAAGCGGTGGAGTATAGCTCTCAATCTACGATGTCGTGACATTAATCTTTCAAGACATTAAAAATACCAACCAGTACGAGACAGCGACCATGGAAATGACTCATGTCAATAAAAACGCTGACAAACAGCAACACTTGCAACTTCAAAAAGCAAGCTTTGCTGACAGTTGAAAGAGCCAAGCGGCGGAGGGAATGTGTTTAACCCTCCAGCTTTCGGGCTTTATTAAGATTCCTCTAATCCATCACATCAGAGATGTTCCGATAAGAGGGGGGGGGGGGGGGGGGGGGGGGGGGGGGGGGGGGGTGGGGGTGGGGGGGGGGTTCTCTCTCTCTCTCATTTCAGTTCTCTGACTGTTTACGTTAAATAATCAACTTCAAAGTGATTGCCAAAACAAAGGACAAAATGACTTAACAAATCATAAATTAAAATCAAATATCTATAAATTTACTAGATACAAGAATACGAAACAATAAGAAATGATACAGATAGCTTCCATACATCTATATATACCATAATGTACACGTCCGCAGCAGCAGCAACAGGTGATGCTGTGCTAAGGACAGGATGATCTTCAAACTGAAAATCTGTACCGACTCTTCTTCTCCTTCATTCATCCAGCCCAAGTCTCTGTGGAGATGGATGTAACGACGATCAAGGAAATATTTAACTCTACCTAAGTCTGTCCCATACAAAAAACTTATCCATTACCACGTAATTCCCCATCCTAGGTTTTTCGATCTCGCCCGATCTGTCTAGTACCCTTACCTGCGTTTTCACGGATTTTTACGCATCGATGTATTCATTCGCATGTAGGCATAGGTGGCACCTACACCTGAACATTTCAACAAAAAAAAAACGTAGGTTATGTCGTTGTTAAAATTTCAACGATATTCTATCTAATTAATCATATTTGAAATAAAATAGAAAACCTCCACTGTAAAATGTGTTGTTTTTGTTTTGTAAGTGCAGCATACGTTGTTTACGCGGCATTATCCAAACGTTGTGTAAAAGTGAAGAGGTTGTGTGGGTAGGTTGAGACTCCCACGGGATAAGTAAAACTCCGATGAAATATTGAATTAATATCAGAGTAGTAGGTGCGAGAAAAAAATTCTATTATCTGTATCTGAGCGAGACGGGGTATCTCAATCTCGGGCTTAGATCCTGTAACATCCTAACCTCGGCTAACACCTCGTTTGGGATTTTGTTGAGGATCTTAGCCCGAGACTGAGATACTACGATCTCGCTTAATTACAGGTAAGATATTTTATTAGTCTTGCTCCATCTACCAACGCTACATTTAATGATTTAGGTAACCATGATTGGTCCCACTAGAGGGGAATTATGAAAATGTCTGCAGTATAGGAAAACATTAAATGAAAAAAACTGTCCATGTTTAATGATGACCCAAAGCACCAGTCTAACCTTCCACTTTAATATTTACTCAGCATCGGATTTTTTTTTAAAAATCCATTTACATTTTATTTAAGATTTCTATTATCTAGGGAGATACTGTCAGCATCTAATCACAATCCTATATATTCAGTTCACAGATAGTTTATTCATGTAAGGGACAGCATACATATTGAGAGCACTGACGGGTACTATGTGACTACATCTCTCGAAGAAGAACACAATGATTAGAGATCAATAACCGTGTCACTCCAGCAACAATACATATATCACATTGTCTATAATCACAGGGCCATCAAGCTTCAAAGCTGACCTTGATACATCAGCATCCCAGACGACGTCAAGATTACTATGTCAGATGTTGAAAGCTATTTAATCGTCAACAGACGGACACACTCGTAACACAGGGTTTTTAAAAGATGCAGGTTGATAGAAATTATGAGAAAGTTTTACGGTCGTCATAGAGATCTCATTAAGAAAATTCTGTTTTTTTTTTTTTTTTTTGCAAGATGTGAAGCTTGACGTGTTTGATTCTCGTTAGTTTTCCTGTTAGTTCTGTTGTTGTTTACATTGTTCTCATTTGAGAACGTAACATTACTTACTAGGATTGACAAAAATTTACATGACGGTTGTCGCGATGGAACAGAAGACACTTACACTTTTGAAACACCTGGTCTTATTCTCCTTGTACTTTTTTTGTCTTAATTTTATTGAATCTGAGTTTGGATTATAATTATGTTGACATGATTTTTTGTTCTTATTTTCTACACAAGTTAACTACAAATACATATACTATTTATTCTCTGAAGGACTTTGATTGGTTAAGGTAATCATACCTTCAGTGTTATGATTCAGCTATCATGTCAGACAGCATTTTGTGACCTGTCTATCTAACACGGACTGAACAACCCGATCAAACTTCTGACCTCATAAACAAGGGCTATTCATGATCATTGTCAAGACTTAAATATCTATACAACCACAAGAAATCGTCCACAGCTCCCCGAGAAAGTAATTTGATGCAAACCGTGCGTTCCTGTAGAGTGGTGAATCATACCATTATGGGGAAAAAAACCCTGACATCTTAGTATTTGAAATGTTAATCTCACTCTTAGTGAATGGAATACCGACAGACAAATAAAACGCAAGTTTGGACCTTATCAAACTTACAGCCAGGCCTATATATCAAATATCACGTAACGGTGACTATTGGGACTAACGCAGAGCCACGGATTCATGCTTTTCCTGTGGGACTCACTGATATTTTGAAAACCCACTTTCTCCTTTAGTATGAACTTTGACCTTGTTGCCTCTACTTTGTTTTACCCTAAAGGGTATCTAAACCGGAAAAAAACATTTTTGAGAAATACTGTTTCTCTTAGGCGTGATGATTTCTA